TATGTCGTCTATTTCTACAAATAAAATATTTTTATTTTACATAAATAATTCAGCATAAATTTAATAAATTTAAATATATTTTAAAAAATTCCAAGGCCCGACCCGACCAGGCCAAAATTTAAAAAAAAAAAATTAGGCCCGATTAAGACATCTTTAAATGATAAGGTTGTAATATTATAGATTCATAATTTTAAGTATGACATGTTCTATGGTTTAACTTTCCCCTATATGAATTTAAATGTATTGATAAATTAATAAAATAGGAAGAAAAAAAAATAGAACTATAAACTATGAATAATATTTTACAAAATTTAATATAAATTATAAAATTAAAAATATTCCCTAATTTTTTTAAAATTGTTTGCAGGCCAGTCTCAAATCTTTCTATATAGAAATTAATAAATAATTCAAAATAAAAAATAGATCTATAAGCTATGAATAATATTTTACAAAATTTAATATAAATTATAAAATTAAAAATATTCCCTAATTTTTTTAAAATTGTTTGCAGGCCAGTCTCAAATCTTTCTATATAGAAATTAATAAATAATTCAAAATAAAAAATAGATCTATAAGCTATGAATAATATTTTACAAAATTTAATATAAATTAAAAAATTAAAAATATTCCCTAATTTTTTTAAAATTCTGACCGGTCTCAAATCTTTCTATAAAGAAATTAATAAATAATTCAAAATAAAAAATAGATCTATAAGCTATGAATAATATTTTACAAAATTTAATATAAATAAGAGACCTGTAGAGGGATCATTTGTACGGCCCACACAACCCAGATTAAAAAATTTTAGCGGCCCGGTTAGAATTTAAAAATTTTTACGACCCGGCCTGGGTTTAAGAATATAAGGCCCTGCTCAGCCCAGCTCGTCCATGGTATATTTTAAAAATTTAAAATACTGTCCGGCCCTGGTACCTGGGCCGGGCTTAGGGCCTGGCCTGCAGGTCTCTTATATAAATTGTAATATTAAAAAAAATTTTTACTTTGTATTTGAGAATTTATATATGAATAAATAATAGTTTTTTTACCTTTATATATATTCTATTGACATAAATAATTATAATAATATATTAACCTTTCCATAACTGTAAACAACATTTTTACATTGGTGAATAAAATATTATGTAAGATATTTCGAGTACCGTTTTATGTAATATACATTACATATTTACTAATTTTATAAAAATAATTATCTTTTTAAAACTTTGAAATTTGAACTTGAAGTCCTACTTACGTTAAATTTATCAACTAAATTTATTTAATAACCACAGGTGTGCAACATAATTATGTAAGTCGTTTAATCTAAACTAAATTAATAATTAAATTTGACCGGAAGATTCATACAAAAACATTTGAAGGTATGAAGAAAAAATGAATTGTTCGACACTTTGTATATAAATTTATAGAGATACAAAATAATAAAAAAATGAATAAATAAGAAAAAAATGAGTGAATAAGAAAAAAATTCGTTGCCTTAGTCTTTTATTAAAACGATTGTTAGATTATTTATGACATAAATACCCAACGGTCTTTTTTAAGACCAATACCCAGCTATCTTTTTTTAAGACCAATGCCCAACAGTCTTTTTTAAGACCAACACCCAACAGTTTTTTTAACACCAATGCCCAACAGTCTTTTTTAAGACCAACACCTAACAGTTTTTTTAAGACCAATACCCAACAGTCTTTTTTAAGACCAATACCCAACGGCCCTTTTAAGGGCCTATAAATTTTAATTGAAGTAAACTAGTTTTACAATATATGTCATAACTCCAAAAATAATGATGGAAACTTAAAATTTTTTTCATTTTATGTTATTATAAGTTAGTTTACATCAAATGAGTCAAAAAAATTAAATATTTTTAAAATCCCAAAAATCTAAAAAAAAATTAAAAAATTGACTAAACTGAGAATCCACATCATAACTCCAAAAATAATGATGGAAACTTAAAATTTTTTTCATTTTATGTTAATATAAGTTAGTTTACACCAAATGAGTCAAAAAAAATAAAATATTTTTAAAATCCCAAAAATCTAAAAAAAAATTAAAAAATTGACTAAATTGAGAATCCACATCATAACTCCAAAAATAATGATGGAAACTTAAATTTTTTTTCATTTTATGTTAATATAAGTTAGTTTACACCAAATGAGTCAAAAAAATAAAATATTTTTAAAATCCCAAAAATCTAAAAAAAAATTAAAAAATTGACTAAACTGAGAATCCACATCATAACTCCAAAAATAATGATGGAAACTTAAAATTTTTTTCATTTTATGTTAATATAAGTTAGTTTACACCAAATGAGTTAAAAAAATAAAATATTTTTAAAATCCCAAAAATCTAAAAAAAAATTAAAAAATTGACTAAACTGAGAATCCACATCATAACTCCAAAAATAATGATGGAAACTTAAAATTTTTTTCATTTTATGTTAATATAAGTTAGTTTACACCAAATGAGTCAAAAAAATAAAATATTTTTAAAATCCCAAAAATCTAAAAAAAAATTAAAAAATTGACTAAACTGAGAATCCACATCATAACTCCAAAAATAATGATGGAAACTTAAAATTTTTTTCATTTTATGTTAATATAAGTTAGTTTACACCAAATGAGTTAAAAAAATAAAATATTTTTAAAATCCCAAAAATCTAAAAAAAAATTAAAAAATTGACTAAACTGAGAATCCACATCATAACTCCAAAAATAATGATGGAAACTTAAAATTTTTTTCATTTTATGTTAATATAAGTTAGTTTACACCAAATGAGTCAAAAAAAATAAAATATTTTTAAAATCCCAAAAATCTAAAAAAAAATTAAAAAATTGACTAAATTGAGAATCCACATCATAACTCCAAAAATAATGATGGAAACTTAAATTTTTTTTCATTTTATGTTAATATAAGTTAGTTTACACCAAATGAGTCAAAAAAATAAAATATTTTTAAAATCCCAAAAATCTAAAAAAAAATTAAAAAATTGACTAAACTGAGAATCCACATCATAACTCCAAAAATAATGATGGAAACTTAAAATTTTTTTCATTTTATGTTAATATAAGTTAGTTTACACCAAATGAGTTAAAAAAATAAAATATTTTTAAAATCCCAAAAATCTAAAAAAAAATTAAAAAATTGACTAAACTGAGAATCCACATCATAACTCCAAAAATAATGATGGAAACTTAAAATTTTTTTCATTTTATGTTAATATAAGTTAGTTTACACCAAATGAGTCAAAAAAATAAAATATTTTTAAAATCCCAAAAATCTAAAAAAAAATTAAAAAATTGACTAAACTGAGAATCCACATCATAACTCCAAAAATAATAATGGAAACTTAAAATTTTTTTCATTTTATGTTAATATAAGTTAGTTTACACCAAATGAGTTAAAAAAATAAAATATTTTTAAAATCCCAAAAATCTAAAAAAAAATTAAAAAATTGACTAAACTGAGAATCCACATCGTAACTCCAAAAATAATGATGGAAACTTAAAATTTTTTTCATTTTATGTTAATATAAGTTAGTTTACACCAAATGAGTCAAAAAAATAAAATATTTTTAAAATCCCAAAAATCTAAAAAAAAATTAAAAAATTGACTAAACTGAGAATCCACATCATAACTCCAAAAATAATGATGGAAACTTAAAATTTTTTTCATTTTATGTTAATATAAGTTAGTTTACACCAAATGAGTCAAAAAAAATAAAATATTTTTAAAATCCCAAAAATCTAAAAAAAAATTAAAAAATTGACTAAATTGAGAATCCACATCATAACTCCAAAAATAATGATGGAAACTTAAATTTTTTTTCATTTTATGTTAATATAAGTTAGTTTACACCAAATGAGTCAAAAAAATAAAATATTTTTAAAATCCCAAAAATCTAAAAAAAAATTAAAAAATTGACTAAACTGAGAATCCACATCATAACTCCAAAAATAATGATGGAAACTTAAAATTTTTTTCGTTTTATGTTAATATAAGTTAGTTTACACCAAATGAGTCAAAAAAATAAAATATTTTTAAAATCCCAAAAATCTAAAAAAAAATTAAAAAATTGACTAAACTGAGAATCCACATCATAACTCCAAAAATAATGATGGAAACTTAAAAATTTTTTCATTTTATGTTAATATAAGTTAGTTTACACCAAATGAGTTAAAAAAATAAAATATTTTTAAAATCCCAAAAATCTAAAAAAAAATTAAAAAATTGACTAAACTGAGAATCCACATCATAACTCCAAAAATAATGATGGAAACTTAAAATTTTTTTCATTTTATGTTAATATAATTTAGTTTACACCAAATGAGTCAAAAAAAATAAAATATTTTTAAAATCCCAAAAATCTAAAAAAAAATTAAAAAATTGACTAAACTGAGAATCCACATCATAACTCCAAAAATAATGATGGAAACTTAAAAATTTTTTCATTTTATGTTAATATAAGTTAGTTTACACCAAATGAGTTAAAAAAATAAAATATTTTTAAAATCCCAAAAATATAAAACAAAATTAAAAAATTGACTAAACTGAGAATCCACATCATAACTCCAAAAATAATGATGGAAACTTAAAATTTTTTTCATTTTATGTTTATATAAGTCGGTACAAAATTAATTAATCCAGAGAGTAGAATTATGCTCCTATAATTCATATTATTTTTAATTAAAAACAAAAATTTAATAAATTACGCCATCTAGCGGAATATTTTTTATGATATACAAAATATATTATTTGTGTTATATTTTCTATATAATAGATCTGTTCTATACATATTATAAATTTATGGACTACAATATCTTCTATATTCTAATTTATATATTTAAATAATTTTAATTTTGGATAGATTTGATTTTTACTTTAAAAACATTTTATTTATATATTAAAAAATAATTGATAGGCAATAAAACAAAAATAAATTTTACCTGTCAATTCTCAGTTTACCTGTCAATTCTCAGTTTACCTGTTAATTCTCAGTTTAGTTACACCGCATAATATTCATGAAAAGCATTTTACAATCTACAAAAATACAAAATAAATGGCAAATTTTCTCGGCATGTTGTCTTCAAAGACCTCCAATTATATCAAAAGAAAAAACTGAGCTTGAAACCAGATATCAAAATTTATTATATCAAATAGAATATGAGCATAGTGTGAAATCAGATTTTGAGCTAAAAAGTGTTAAAGAGATGTAATAACAATCTAATTTGTTGAGAAAATATTATATTTTTTTTAGAAAAAATAAAAAAGATGAAAAATCTAAAGCCAAAGGAGATTTACTAACTCCTCAAGAATTAGAAGACAGATATGTGGAAGAATTTAACATGTTTAAAACAAATTTAAGAACAAATCAAAGTATTTTTCTTATAATTATGTATTAATCTATTTAAATCCAGAAAAAAATACTATAGACTCATATATGGATAGTAAATTGTATTTAGTTACTCACCAACAACTAGGACAAAGCACAAATCTCATATTTCCTACACAACTTTGGGAGAAGGGTGAAACTTTAAAAGAAGTATTACAATTTTTAATTATTTTATATTCCTTGACATATTAGACATCAGAAAAAGCACTGAATTGCTTAATCAAGAATCCTAAAGTGCAACCATTATTTTTAAGTTATGCACCTATTGGTTTTTATAAATATAAATATCCAAAGCCTGTCTCAGAAATGACTCAACATATAGGAGCAAAAGTATTTTCTTTAAAAATTATTATTGCATATATCTAATAATTTGAGTAACTAACCATAATGATGAATGAATCTGAGATTTCCTCTTCATGTAATAATAAATGAATTTGAAATTTGTCTATCTTATGGGATATGAACCAAAATTTTCAATTTATTTTGATGAGCTATCTAAATTTTCCATTATTTAAAAAAAATCTATAATATTATTTTAATACCTTCAATATATTATTGTTAAATGGCTCAATTTGAGTCAGCAAGTCTAAAGATCTTGTTCATAGATGGCACAATGATTTTGGACATCTACTGGCAAAATCTCGAGGCATATGGAATATTTTTCTTACTAAAATATTGAGTTAGCCATTTTTAAGAATCGGCTCAATGAGTCATTTAACAACACTACTTCAATATGAAGAGATAATTGTGTAGGGCAAATTTTTCTTATTTTTGTAAGGTATGGTAATTTAGGGTAATATTTATTGACTTGTTTTTTTATATCTATACTAGCAGTTAACCCATAGAAATATGGGTGAATCTAAGATTTCTCCTATATGATAATAAATGAATTAGAAATTTGTCTATATTATGAGGTGAAACAAAAATTTAGTTTTGTTTTGATGAAAGGTGGTTCCTAAATTTTCCATTATTTAAAAAAATTGTTAATACAGTAATATAGTACCTTCAATATGAAGAAATAATTGTGATGGACAATAAAAAATCTTCAACAACCTATGCAATTTAAAAGGAGATTTGCAAAATTATCTAACAATATTTTACAAATAAAGAAGAAAACTAGGCCAAAAGTCAAATATCTGATTCATCATCAAACAAAAAAATATCTGATTGGTCCATCATTCTTGATGGGTCAGTTACTCATAAAATAAATTAAGACATAATATTTAATGAATTTAGTTCAAATATTATTATATCAAATAGAAAAGTATCTAACACACCCTTTAAGATAGTATCTTGATACCAATGTTCTCTAAACAAATGTATTTATGTACCTGACTTTCTATGAAATTGTACATAGATATTGTTATATTTGAATATCGTATATATTCAAAATGTTAGTTATATATTTTAAAAGGACCTTATTTGTGTATTATATTATTATAACTTTCCGACATGTAATATTATATTATCGAGGTTAATCAAATTGCATATTATTAGAAGTTAAATTGGATAATTATATAAATGTATATATACAAAAGAATTACAAATAAAATTCATTATTGTTTTTAAAGCATAATCGATTTAATAGATAAGATACCACATTCTTATATCTAGGACCAAGTGTTAAAAAGACCGATTTGTATTGATTTTTAAGTCCATGATAGATTTTAGCAAAATTGTCTAAAATCTTATTTGGGCTGTTTTTAAAAATCCACTCAAATTGGAATTTTCAACAACACTATTAGATACCTTATTTACTCTGAAAAATACGATCAAGTTCCTACGATCAAAGGTCCTCTCTTGTTTTGATGTTTTTTAAAAAAAATTTCACAACTAACTTTCTATATTAGAGACCAGAAGGCCTCGTTACACGGCTTTGCTATATATTAATTTAATTTTTTTTTAAAAAATATGGGCAATATATTTTAAAACCAAATATTTTAAATCGCCCTTATTAGATATAAAAATTAAAAATAAATTGAATATTTTTTAAAAGAATCTGGGCCAGGCTGTTATGGTACCTCAGTAGATCTCTGATATTATATAGAGTTTAAAATCTAATGAGAAATATTAAGATTCTTTATTTTTAATTTGAAAATTGTTAAAGTGACGATATTTTATTGAGACAGGGTAGTAACGGTGGCTAATATATACGACAATTCTAATAATTGACACATTATGTGATCAAAAGACGAGATGATCACATATTTAATATTCTATATTTAGATATAAATAAACTTTGTAATACTAAGTTTTAAGTTTTTGATCTTACAAACATTTTTATTTGATATATAGATGTTCTTCTTCATGGCCTACCTGACTCCAAAATATCAAAAATATTTCGTGCATAACGATACAAATGCCTCATATAAATGGTTTAATATAGATGACATGAAAAACAATATGAAACCATCTTATTTTAAAGCACTTAGACCCTTTATATTATGCCAGTGATAAAAAATACGAAGCTGTTTTATATTAATAATAAATTTATTTATTGTATTATTAATATACTTTTGGAATTATTTGAATTTTATAAAAAAAAATTACAAGTTGGTATTAACAAATTTGCAATATACCAGATTTACATACTAAATTATTTCACATAATATATTCTTTTATTGTTTCCTATACACCAAACCACATTTTCAAATTTGCATAAAAATTAGAATTGGGTGGGGTAGCTATTTGTTTATACAAATTCTCTCTGGCCTAAATTAGATTTACCCATATTCAATATAAGAATCGTTATCCCATATCAGAATTTCCCTACATTTAAAAAACTTGTTAGTAAAATAAATGATGAAATTTTCCATTTTTTATTTTAAATTCACTGTAACCCATATCTATAACCTTTTAATTATCATAAGCATCCATCCAACAGGTTGGTTTCCTAAAAATCTGTCTTAGGCACCCAAATTAATTTATTTCCTTATTTCTTGATTATGCCTTTTTCTCTGTTGAAATTAATTTAACATAATTTTTTTTATTTACACCAATCGGGATTATGAACTCGAGACATTTGTTTAATTGAACTTTAGGCTTGTTAAAAAAGTGTTAAATTAAAGCATCGAATCAACCCTTTATTGATAACGGACAAATACCCGTATGACATTTTTTCTATAGATTGCTTATTTTATAAAATCCTGAAGAGAACCTACGAAGCAAAATATTAAAAAAGCCAATGTTAAAATCGAATTCATATACTTGTTTATTGATAATTTTTGATTTATCTTAAAGAATAGTTATTCTATTAACCTAATAACTTCAAACAATATTTTGTGTATAGAAACACTTGTTGAGTAATAACATTATTTAAAATCTAAACGTTATTTTGCTAAATAATATTATAATATACTTATTTGTAATTTTATAAATTAGCCTTTAAATACAAAAAATTCCAAATTAATGCTCACCCAACCCTACAAGAACATATCTTGTTATAAACAAGCGCTCCACTTGAGGGCTTGCATAATTGTATTAAGTTTCTACAAATATTTTTTTTAATTTAAATAATTATCAAAAATGTTAACCGATTATTCCGCAAGTGAATTAATGTATTGCGATAAATGTGTCTTAAAAAGAATTTTAATTTCATCCATTTTGGAATTAGGACATTGATATGGTATCAAGTTGGTTTTCCAAATGAAGAATAGGCTATATGTGGCATCAAAATCAAGCTCTACATAAAAATATTCTTCAAGTATAATCTGATATTAATATAATATTATCTGTAAAAAAAATACAATTATTTATTTAATATATCCTTTTATCTAAATATCACTATAAGGTCAACTGGCGAATAACAATATAATAATAATAATTTGAATTAAATAATATGAATATAAAACGATTTAGGTAATTTTCGATTAATAATAATTCTACAAATTTTTTGCCAACGAATATCCTTGATAAATCTCTTTTTGCTTAACCATCGTAAATCCAATCTCATTACCAACTTCCTCCACATAACACTTTCCAGTAAGCATCTTATCCATTAATTTTATGGACGGTTATAAGAATTTTTTTATTAGGGGTTATCAGGGTTGGGCAGTATCGCGGATATTTGTATCTAAGATACAAGATAATTTTGTATCTTGTATCTTTTTTAAAATTTTGGAATATTGTATCCAGTATCTAAGATACATATTATTTAAAAGTATTTGTATTCAAAAAGATACAGATACTTTAAAAAAAATTTATATTGGTTAATTTAAATAGTATTAAAATTTAAAATGATATTGTTTTAAGATTTAAATGAAAAATTTAATCAAAATTTAGATATTTTAAGATAATTTTTGATATCTGACGTTGGTCGTCAGATAGCAATTTGCTAACAATAGAACTACCATATTTGAATCGTTTTATGTCTATTTTAAAATTATGGAAGAAGAAAATAGAATAATATGTTTATCTTCGTCTTCAGATGATTCTTCAACCGAAAATTATAACAATAAATTTAAACTTAGCATACTTAATGGCAAATTTTTTGAAGTACTTCAAGATGATCATAATAAAAAAATTCATCGTGACTTTGGTATTGACGAAAAAGTTATAGCAACTGTTACAGAAAACGGCTCTAACTTTAAGAAAGCTTTCAAGGAGTTTGGATATTCTATGGAAGTAGAGAATGACTTTGACATCAATGATGATGAATGTATAGAATTCGAAATCATTGAAAGTATTATTTAATACTTCTTTAAAATTTATTATGATATTGTAAATTTAGTAAAAAAAATTTATTCAAATAAAATTATTTATTTGTTTATTTAAGGGTCTAAAGAAGCCTCAATAACATTGCCTCAACACATTCGTTGTTTGTGCCATACGATAAGTCTAATTGCCACAACAGATGTCGAGAGAGCTATTATCCTAACATTTCTAAAATTCATCATCCTGCAATAGCTAAATGTACTAAGCTATGGAATGCAAATAATAGGCCTAAAACTGCAGAACTTATCAAAGCAGTTTTAGGAAAACAATTAGTTACACCTTGTTGCACTAGATGGAATAGTTAGTATGATAGTCTTCATAGTTTATTAAAATTTAAAGGCGAACTTCCTAAATTATGTCAAAAATTAGAATTTCCTAAATTAAGAGATATTGAAATTCAATATTTAGAAGAATATTGCAATATAATGGCCCCATTGGCTATAGCGATTGACAAAATACAGAGAGAACTCAACTGCTATTATGGAGAATCAGCTCCAATTTTAAATGTCGTTAAAAAAATTACAAATTTAATTCAAACCAATCTACAATTTTGCAAACCATTAGCTGTTGCCATAGAAAATTATTTAAATAAAAATAAAAATATATATGATTTTGATAACAATTTTAAGAGTGCATTTTTGGCAACTATTTCTCATCCCTATTTTAAAAATCGTTGGATTGATGGTTAAAAAGAAAAAAAATACCTTCAGGATTTGTCATTACATGAAGTTTTAATTGTTTTTAAAAATAATATTGAAATTAATACTTCAACAAAATCTTCAATTGATGAAGATGATGATTACTTTTGCCTTAAAAGTACCACATCCAATTCTAATAATTTAATAAATGATATTGAAATAGAGGTCCTAAATTATATGAGATGACAGACGGAGTATAAATATGTTAAATACTTATAAATATATAAAAGAAATATTTATTAAATATAACACAATATTACCCTCCTCAGCCCCATTGAAAGATTAATTAGCTTTGCTAATATGGTTAATAGACCAAATCGTCAAAGATTGAACGAAAAATTAATAATATTAAAAAATAATGCTGATTTATGATGCTGATTTATTAATATTTACTAATTATATAATTACTAAATGGAATATCGCATTATCTTTTATAATAAATTTGTTATTTTCTACATATTATTTTAAATATTTTTTTATAAATTTATATTATAGATAAGAAAATAAAGCTTTATACATTTTTATTTTGACTATTTAAAGTTTTTTTAAAAAAATATCTTGCATCTTAGATACTTTTTTTTAAAAAAATACAAGTATCTTGTATCTTATATCTTATTGAAATTTTTCTAAAGTATCTAGTATCTTGTATCTTAAATACAAAATTTTATAAAGTATCTGTATCTGTATCCGAATACAATTTTCTGAAAATTTGCCTAACCCTGGGGGTTATAATATAAGATATCTTCCTAGATTATAATTTTTTTTAAAAAAAGCAATATTTTAGGAGGCATATTCTGTTTGCTGACTAAACATTTAAAAATGGTGAAACTTGATACCCTTTTAAATTTTTATCATTTTCAACTTTTACTGCACTCTTAGTTGCAATAGAGATTGGATTATGGCAGAAACAAAAATCGTCAAGTGAAGATTTGAAGTTTTTTTTCGCTCAGAATTTTTAGCTAAAAAATCTTTGAAAATCAAATAAATTGAAGATTTTTCGTTAAAAAAATTTTGTAATAAAAAATGTTTTTTTGTAAAAAAATCTTTATGATTTTGAGCAAATTAGTTTTTTTTTAATATATTAAAATCTATATGTGATTAATTTTTTCCCTTTACCTCTCTTTATTAATTTAATTTTTATTTTTTAGATAAAAATTATTTTTCAAATGTTTTTTTATAGAAGAGACCTGGGTAAAACGACTTGCATAATAAGAAATAAATCAAATCATCTATGAGCATATAATTTAAAGATATATATAATAAAAATATTAAGACTAATATTTATATGTAATATTAAAATTTATATAAAAAAAGGTATAAATATTATTTTTTTCCCATTTATATCTATAGAATCAATTCAAGATTGTGAATGATTTTATTATGCAAAGGAATTTATGGTACTTGCTTAGCCATAACGCCCATAAATAAACTATTGATGCACAAAATTATTTGAAGCAAAAAAATTTATTTAGAATTTTGTAAAATAATTTTATAGATATTCCGCTAACTTTTGATGAAAAAATTATAAGTTTAATGTAAAATTTTTTTTTTAAAATTAATCTTATTAAAAAATTTAAAATCTAGAAATAACCTTTATAATTCAGTACTTGATCCATTTACTCAAAAAGAAAGACGAATTCTACTTATTTATATATTTTAATTTTTATGGTTTGACTAAAAAATAAAATAAAATTTCCGATTGTTTCCCTAGTTGTAAAATGACGCTTCGTCACTGATTTATCGTAAATATAAATCTTTATAGCAAGCCATAAACTAACCACCAACACACTGTACCATTTTAGTTTTATGACTTCAATCCATAGGCGTAGCCAGAATTTTTTTAAGGGGGGGGGGGGGGGTAAAAACATTTTTGTGCGAGCCTTCGGCCCGCTTTTGCCCGGCCTTCGGCCGGGTTATCTTAGTTTATATAAAAAAATAAGCCTGGAATAAATATGAAATATATATTTATTAGTTTATATAAAATATAATAAATTACTTGTATACAAATATAAAAGCATGGTAATAATTTATTCCAAACAAGTATAAGAAATTTATTTATAAAAAGTAAGTAGACATATAGTTGAGATTCCTCTATTATATAGAATTGGTTACAAAATACTAGGTAATTCCACTTTTACAGACATATTTGACAGTTAGAGAATATATTACAGTTAATATTTTAACAAATTTTACTAATCAATGCTCTTGATAATAAAATCAGTAATAATTTTCATTCAATTTATTTTAAATAAAAAATGATATTAAAAATTAATTTTCATATTATTTATCCCACAATGTCTTTAAAAGATATTTTCTGATGTCCTTCTATATTTTATGATTTTCTGTAAAATATATAATTCGCTATATTGGTAAAAATTATTTGATTGTCCTATGATAATTGATAAAATTAGATATACTGTAAATCTACGACTTATAATATTCCACTGTTTGTATTGTGCTTTAATTTTTTTATTTAATTTTTGATTTAATTTTATCAATAGTTTTATAATTATATTTTACTTTTATTAAGATAAATAACTTAAAATTACTCACTTTATAAAAAATTATATTTGATATATTATATTATTTAGTAATTTTATGGATATATTATTAATAATTATAATACATTTCACTTTTGTCTTAAGACTGATATTTGGCTTATATTCCATTTCTTAGAAAATATTTTTGGTTTACTTTTTTAATATATAAATGCTTTTTTCCAAAAATGTATAAATTATGATGAATAGTTTTATAAAAAAAATATCAACTTTTAAATTCTTTCTTTCAAATTATTGTTTAATATATATGCATACATTTTTGGGGGTCAGGGAGTGGTGGGAGGATTATGCGGGATATTTTTTATTAGCTTTAAATGATATTCACAAAAAGTGATAAATTTCGGAAGGGAGGAAATTTCCCTTTCACCCCCCCCCCCATTTCCCGGCTACGCCTATGCTTCAGGCTAAATTTTATAGCTTAATGCATTAATTATTAAAATAATATCATGCAATTAGAATTAAACCTAACCCAAAAAATATACTAAGCCAGGATTGAATTTAGATTTAAATGGTAAGCTTTTTACATTAATTGCTAAAAAGCCTAATATACCTATAATAATGATGACTCACATAAGTTTTTGGCTTTAACCATTAGTGTTGTTAAAAAGCCCTATTCGAGTCAATTTAAAATCAAAATAATATTATGTAATCCAAAAGATTTTCCACATAGCTGGCAGAAATGCTTGGACATCTATTTGCCAAATCTTGATGCTTATAGAATATTATTTTAGCTTTAATCTTAATCGGGCAGTTTTAAAAAATCGACCCGAATCGGGCTTTTAACAACACTATTAACCACTTAGTTTTGAAAAATAGAGAGGCATGCAGCACAGAAAACAAATATTAAGTTTGTAAATCTTTACTATATTAAAACTATTACAAAATGTATTTTTAATTATATGATTTTTATAAAAAAATATAAGTTTTTCTAATAAAAAATTTTAGAATAAATTATATTCTTCTGTTAAACAATTTTCCTGATATATCATTAATTATTTATTTTCTTCAATTTATAAATATTAAACTGATAATTATTATAGCATATCCCAAAATTAAATTTATCATAGATAATTTAAGCAAAAGATTTTAAAAATATTTATTTCATAAATTGAAGAATAAATTTTTCCAGAAGTCTTTACTTGATAATTATAGTAAATTCTAAAATCAAACAAATAATAAATAATGTAGGCTATAGATTATATAAATATTTATTACATAATTTGAAAATAAATTATAATATTTTGTTGAACTATATTCGTAAAATATCAATAAATATTTATTTTTTTTCAGTCTAGAAATTTTAACTTGATAAAAATTATAGCAGCTCCTAAAATTAAACTAATCATAAATAATTTAAGCAAAAGATTTAAAAAATATTTATTCACTTCTTAGAAAAAACAAATAAATATAGAAAGTAAGATTTTGATTTCTAATTTGTTGTTAGCCTGTACCAAATATTATTGTTCCTAGGTGAACTTTATCAATTTTTATAAACATATGTTTAAATGCAAAATGTGTAAAACTTTAAATTTTTTACTCTATCGGAAGAATTTCAATTATGTTTCTCCCAAATTTATTCATCGACACAATTTATTTGTTAGATTAAAATTTACTTTTCATTCCAATGTAAGAAACTATAACGTTGTTTAGTAACACTTATTTTTAAAACAGATAAATTGCAAATATTATTGCAATCAGAAAATTTTTAATGAAAGTAAATCAAAAGTTACCGTAATTAATGCTTCAGTTAAAGATAATAATGAAAACAATAATATATTTAGCACTAATCCTCAAATTAGTGGTTGGGAGATAGTTAAAAAAATGTTTACCTATGTTTGGCCGAAAGAATCTCCAGACATTAGATATAGAGTTATCATTGCTTTATCACTGTTAGTTGGATCAAAAGTTTATATATTAAATATTTTATTGTAACTTTATTCTATTAGGTTTTAAATGTTCAAGTTCCCTTTATATTTAAATATGCAATAGATTATTTAAATCAATGCACAAATGGTATGCTAAACATCCCTGAAAAGTTTGAACCTTTCCAATCAACTCTTCAATATGTGATGTTTATTATCATTGCCTGTAAATAAGATACTATACTATACTAAATGTTATTACTTAATCACATTGTAACTATATTTCATGTTAGATGGATAGGTGGTATATTAAGCCATTAAAAACCTTAAGATAAGTTTAAAAGTAATAGATTAGTTTAATATATCAATATACAATATGAATTAAGTAAATTCAGCACATGATAATGAATTTTTCTACTAAATGACCAATTTAATATGCATAATTATTGGGGCTGTGACAGTACTTAAATGACTGGTTATAAATTTCTAATATTCCAGAATTGACAAAGGCAATAAATTATTAATGCATAACCGTATTGCAATGTTTTTAAATATAATATCTTATGAGAGTAAAAATATAGAAGAGATTATATGATTATTATTTTTCTTTCTATGAAACTTATAGAAAACATCTAATAAATAAAATTGAAATTTTGTGATTATTGTTATTAGTTATTTTGGTAGTTATTTTAATAAGATTTTCTTGCGAATAATATAATTAAATACTATAGAAACATGATTAAGCATATCTCAGCAAAAATTATGATATCCTGGAATAATTTCCTGGATGAATTTAATTTCTTCCAAATATTATTGATTAATATAAAGACTATAGCAATGTGTCATCCTCAGAAAATCGATCACAAATTTTGGGCATTTTCTAATAATCGCCTGCGGATTATTATAAACTTTTTGAAATATACGTTGCAACATATGTTTTTCAAAATTTATCATAACGTTTTCAACGTTTTGCTTCATATTTATGTATACCAATTTATTGGCTTGATTTTGTAAATAACTCAGCGTTAAATACAGCGTCGCTTAAACAAAACGCGTTTACTATAAAAGAGTCTTTAGTTAAATATTGGATCGACGAAACTAATAAAAAAAAGGCAACCTCAATTTAAACAAGGGATACGTTACTTTTTTTTATTGAAAAAGGTACTGCGCAGCGCAAACGCTCTATTTGTGCGCACTATTTAAAAAAAAGTAGTTAAATAAGGCTTATATAAAAAAAACATCTGATTTATAATTATTCCAAATGCTCATGGCTTTTAAAAGATTTTCGAAGAAGGGGGATTCCTAATCCCGTTATATGCTAAAATTATATGTTATTTATTAATTGTGTTATTAAAATACAATAGACGGTATAGCCAGAACCGGTGCCTCCTTATTCAACGAGCTCCGAACGGCTATTTTTGCCAAAGTAGCCCAAAATTCTATCAGACGCGTAGCTAAGAGTCTATTTTTACACTTGCATTCGTTGGACCTCGATTTCCATTTAGCCAGGCAGACCGGAGCATTGGCCAAAGCCATAGATCGCGGAACTAGGTTTTTTTGGCAATCTTTAATTGTGATTATAAAATATCAAAATTTTTTTTTAACTATTTGTTATTAGATCAGATTTGTAATAATAATGCGGAAGTTAATATATTTTATTAATAACAAAATATATAAATGAATACTAGGGGTATAAATTTCGTGTTGAGTGCCTTGGTCTTCAATTTGGTACCTACCATCCTAGAGGTGTTATTCGTTACCGGAATTTTAGTGAGTATAACATAATGACAAATTTTATACGCAATATAGTGCTTACAGATTGTAAGAAGCGTTTAGCGTTGTGTTTTTATATTTTTTTTTAAAAAAACGCTGTTTTGAATTGGAGCAAAAAACGCAAACTATATTGATTCATGTTTTTTAACGCAAAAAAAGAGTTTATTAATTTCCACATTACCATTAAAATATTTTGATTTGAAATAACGCAAAATCAAAAAAGTTTAAACACTTATATCTTAAATACCAACGACGTCGTTATGGATATATATTTTTTGAATTAGATTATTTTTTTTGTCTTTGGAATTTATAAATATAATTAATTTTTGGTGTGTTATTTTTTTTGGTAAAAATTTTCAATTTTTTTTTAGCTCGTGATACTAACAGAGCTGTCAGTGTCACCTTTGTGATCTCTTTTTAAAACTAGACTTCTTTATATTTGTCGATTTACTATCTAGAAAATAACCATGCATTTAGTATTGTTAAACGGTTCGTTTATTTTGGCTAGAAAAATATTGCCTAAGCCTCGAGATTCGCTAAATAGATGTCCAAACTTTTGTTCCTTATACGAACAAAATTTTCAGGCCTGCGTAATATTATTTTAGAATGAAATATTAAGTTAGCGATTTTTAAAAATCGGCAAACGAGCCATTTAACAACACTACATGCATTCATAGTTGCACCAATTCGCTAAATGAATGCAAAAAGGCTTATAAAATTTTTAAAAAACTATTTCAATTTTAGATTGGTTTTGCTATATTTATCAATTTTATTTTTAAGGACCCACAGCTAAATTTCTTTTAAATTTCTCCATTTTTTTATAACCTTGGCTTGTAAATTATTTATTCTAATGCTTATTTATCAATTTCATTTTTTTAAATTATATTACATTTACAAGTGGTACAAATGCGGTGTAGAATACGCTTTAGTCGTTTTGACCTGCATGTCAGCGTACACCGCGTGGACTTTATCCATCACCGCTTGGAGGTTTTTATTTATGTATCTTATTGTGCGAATACGTACTTATAAAACCCCTATCTTAATTTAATAAAATAAGTTGCAAATTTTCTCGCCGAATTTGGGAATTAAATTTTCGACAATGCGAATTTTCTCTAAGCGGATTCCCTATTATCGCTTTTTCGTTCTTCAGCTATTTGATACCGAAGAGGCCTATTCAGAAACGAATACAAATCGAATAGTCAATTGTTCATATACGATTTTTGAAAACGTATCTAATAATTTGCTAATTGTAGATACATCAATTAAATATGAATAGTAAATTCTATATACAGATGTATATCGAATAATTCATTATATTCGTATTCTTTTTTTTGAAGAGGCCTAGTACCGAAAATGAAACTGCCTGTCCGAGAAAAATTACCAAAATTTAACCAGTTTTCGGTTAACTAGCAATTTAATTATCAAATTAGGTCAGAAAATTGGTAGCCAATTTTTATTGAGCTAAGACTGGTTATTTAAAGCAGGAGATGTAAGGAGTTAATGAGAGGCGTGATTTAAGATTATCACTCGAGCGGTCCCCCCCCCCCAAAAAAAAAAAATTGGGCCTTAAATAAAATATTTTAGAAAAAAATAGGGACGAATAGCAAAATAGTTAGGAAGGTTATAATAATTCAACTGCCGAATGTTAAATATAAATCATTATAAAATTATTAATAATAAATGAATAGATGATAGTATTTTCGAATTCTTTATTCTATTCCCCAGAACAAAGTACAGGATACAAATGAATAAGGCCGAGAATGAGGCTGGTAACAGAGCTATCGATTCTATGATCAATTACGAGACCGTTAAGGTTAAACAATAAATATGCTAATGCCAAAATAAGGAAGGGGTAAAATGGTTCTAACATTTAACATATGTAGTTGCTAATCGACTTAGCCGGAAACTCCAAGTTTTGGTTTTAAAAAATCTATATTCTAGTCGTGAACTTCGAGGATGAGTATTTTATAATTACCTAAAATTAAAAAATAATTTTTATTTTCGTTTTTTTAGAAATAAAATTAAGAATCTGGGAAGACTTGCCTATCTAATTTTTGGTAAAAACCCCCAATTTTTCATGTAATAAAAATTTTGAAAATGTTTTATTAAAATCTAACAAATGATTAATTTATGTTATATGTATTTTATTTCAAATATCAAAAAAAAACAATTCTTTTTATATTATAAATAAAATGCCATCTTGCGGATTAATATTCATGTAATTAAGTTTTTTATAAGATTATTGATAGAAATTTTATTTATTTTAACAGGTATGAATTGTTTAGTACTAAAGTTCACATCTAAGGGCTAGTTCCTTTATAATTTTTTAAATAACTTATTACTGATTCTGTTGGTCCGCAACCTAATCTAAATAAATCAATTCTTCATACTAAGAGTTCTTTCATCTTTAAAAAGTTGTTTTGCAATTTTATAAAAATCTGCCCATGCTACGTCATCGATTTTTCTTAGAATAGGAATTTTTTTATATCTGTTAATCATTAATAATTAGATTAAAAATTTCTTTACGAGCCTGACAATTTTTATATAAAAATCAAGTAAGGTATTGTAAATTTCAGATTTTTCGTAAAATTTTAATGCAGTTCGCCGCACTGGTCATTATAATAATGTATTTTTTAATTTTGAAGCATATTGATTATTATTTACTATTTGAAATTAAATTACAATATCTTAATTTCTTTGTATTTTAAAAACTGCACTGCCTAACTTAAAATACTTAATCTAACAATAAAAATTTAACGGGATGGGATTTGTTGGGCAAATTTTTAAATTCTCAACAGTCCTTTTAGATCTCTCATGTAATGTATATATTTTCCCAGCATTCCATAGAAGCAAGGGAAGCATTGCTTCCCTTGAAATTTTTTGTACAAAATTTTTAAATAAACTTAATATAATCTTTGTAAAAAAATTAATATAATTTTTATAACGTTAAAAAGATTAATATAATTTTTGTAACGTTAAAAAGATTAATATAATTTTTGTAACGTTAAAAAGATTAATATAATTTTTGTAACGTTAAAAATTAATATTATTTTACTATATTAAGAAATACTATTATTTTTACTACGTTAAAAAATTAACTATTATTTTTAGTACGTTAAAAAATTAACTATTATTTTTACTACGTTAAAAAAAATATACATGAGGGAAGCAAATTTAATATTGCTTATTTTTTTAATAAATAAAGAGAAAATCATGCCATGGTATTGTGTAATTTTACCATTAAAAAATAAGCATTGGGAAGGCAAATAAAAAAATGCTAATTTTTTTTAATAAATAAAAGAGAAATAAATTATTTTATATAATATTTTTTTCCTTATTTTTTTAAAATAAAAAATTTTTCTTTTTTAAAATCCTTAATTAGTGTTTAATAATTGTAATTGTATTATTGAAAATTTATTAACATTATCATTTAGTTCAAGAAATTTTGATGCTAAAAAATTGATTATTGAAAAAGGAAGACCAACCCCAATTTTACAAAACTTAAAAAAAGAAATCAAAACTTGCATATTTTCAATTTTTTAACTTGCACAAGCTGGAAACCGAATTAAAGGCAGTATTTCGGGATGTTGAATTTAGAAAGAAAAAGAATGTTAATGAAAAACTTGAATTTTTCATATGCACCAATTTGATGAAAAGTTTTAAAGAGTTTTTTAAATTATGCAAATTCATCTTAACTTTAGCTTCAACAAAATCAAGTGCAGAACAGAGTTTTTCATCTTTAAAAAGAATCAAATCTTATTGCAGAAACAGGATGAGCCAAAATCGATTTCTATCTTTGATTTCGATTGAAAAAAAATTTAAAATCTAGCAATAATTTTTATGATGCAGTACTACTACTATCATCATTTTACTCAAACAAAGACGAATACCACTTATTTATAAATCTTAATGTTATCATAGTTTGAGTTTGACCAAAAAATTTTTTTTGATTGCTTCCCTAGTAGTGAACCTGACGCGTCGTCACTGTTTCCCAGTATTAGTAACCCTGAAGTAAAATTCAAAGTAGAGGTGAGGGCTTTTAAATTTATTAATTGTTATCCTACCTAATAAGGCCTATATATTTTTTGTATACTTTATTTTTAATATTAAATTAATTTTCTCTACTCTTCTCTTTTCATTACATTTTATATATTTTTAAAATAAAATAGTAAATTTTTCTCCGGGATAATAAATAATAAAATTAAAAATAAATAACTTAATATTTAAAATGACATTTTTTCTAAAACTCAAAAAAATATAAAAGTTTATAATTAAAAATTATTGTCTATAAAAATAAAAAGAATAATAAAACTCCCAGCCCTCATTTTTGTGAAGGTTTTATATATTGTATTGTATCGCCAATTTTATAACTTGAATAAACCTCATAATATATGGTCAATCTCAATGGTAACTTTTTATTCTCAATTCTTATATACACTAATCTATAATGATTCAATTTAACTGACCTTTTATTTAATATTAATAAATACGCTATATTATTGTATAACAAATATATTAAACGAACCTTTTAAAATATATGAAATATAACAGGCTCAATTTTTAAAAACGGCTAACCCAATATTTAAACCAAAAAATATTATGCAAACCTGAATATTTGCTTTAATAATATTTTATACGTAATAAATAGTTGAAAATCTTCGTCCATTAGCATTGACGATAATACCCATATTGAATTTATATGTAATCAAAAAGTTAAAATTATTCCTGTCCTTGAGATCTAGACCAGCCCATTTAGAGCCATGCGCTTGAAAATATTTTTTCATGATCATATATTTGAGTAACCATATTAAATTTTTTATTTTTTTATTACCCCCTTCCCTCTCCAGGTCGTACTTGTACACGAGATTAAGGTAAGGCTATGTTATAATTCTGAATACTATTATAGTATCCTAATCAGAAGATATTTTAATTAACTATTATTTGATACCCATCAATCATCATATCAATATTTGGTGCGATTAAATTATTCCTGACCCCTCTAGTAATCCCTTGGCCCATCGAGAGGAGGTGCTTGGCTTGTTCCCTTTTCAATAGATCTTTTGATACGATATCTATAATAACCGTATACACTTTTATAAGGTCAATAAAAAACAACTTAGAATATATGGGTCTGTGCCCCGGGTAACTCAATATTTGAATCAGAAAAATATTATGCACTCTCCATAATTTTGCTCGTAGATGGCATGGCACAAAGGTTTGGCCATCTATTAGCGAAATCTCGAGACTTATGCAATACTTTTCTGGCTAAAATATTGAGTTAGCAGTTTTACACTAGTCTGGACAATCTATAATTGCTTCCAATATTTATAAAGGGTAAAGTAGATATAAACAATATTTTACATTTGGGCAAAGTAAAGTGATTGGTTAAAAAAGGTGCCAAATCTAAAATATTTAGATATTTTTATTTGATTTTAATTCTGAATTAAACGACACGAGTTCACAATAAAAATCAAGGTTTTTACCGAAAAAACGTGATTTATACAGAAAAATGGGTTTTTCCAAAAAATTAGCTAGGGTGAGTCTTCCCGTATTATTTTTATAAAAAAAAATGAAAATAAAAATTAATGATTATTATTAATTAAAGTAATTATAAACTACTCGTCCTCGAGTTTATAACTTGAACTAAGTTAGTCCACTCTGAGTCGGAGTCGAATGAACTCGATTATTTAACAACACTGACTAAACTATATATATTTTTTCATCCCCCTCTTCGTTAAGTATTTTAACAACGAAGCCTACGAGGCGAACCAATACGATAAATTGCAAGCGAATTACGAGACCGCTTCCATCAAGACGGCTCTTAGTTTATCCGTTCTCAATTTCGGGCAGAACATCGTATTTAGCGGGGCATTGGCTTTTACCATGATACTCGTTAGCCAGGAAATATTGAAAGGTTTTTCACCCGCCTTCATTTTTATTTTTTCATTAGCTCACAGTATTTTTTTTTACAGAAGGAAAAATGGGGTGGGGGTATTTGGTTATTTAAAATTTATTATAATGAAAAATTGGATTCTATTCCAATTGCAAATATGATATTCTTCCATTAAAAAATATTTGATAAATGTTGTTATGCGAGTTTACCATAAAGTTATATTTAAGCTAATGTTTACAGCCGTTTCGTCTGGTCTGGTCTTTTTTCTACGACAGGACTGGGCTGTTAAGTCGGATGTGACCAGACCATCAGTCCGATCCCGCCCAGTCTAATATAAGCTAAGCACTATAAAAGTTAACATTTTTATATACAAATTTCATCAAGGCATCTCTATTTGTTGATGCTGATGGTTAATAAATTAAAGCATAAGAGCTATAGTTGAATTTATATTTAAGCCCATTTTTAACCGGCTAAAAAATCAGCTAACCCAGTTGCCAGACAAAAACTATCACAATATAGTAGCTCAAATTTGAATGGAATTATGAATTAAAACGCCTTATGTTAACGGATTTTCTCCGGAATGCGCCTGTGCAATGAACCGGATTAGTTGACATTTAGTCATTACCCAACTATAATAATAGTACCTAGACCAGTAAGGGGCTACCATTAAGCTAGCTAACTGTTATATTAGAATAAAGTATACTTGAAAAAGTATATTCATAATCTGAAAAGCCAATTTTTGTTAAGACCAATATTTATAAATATATGTAATTTGAATATTACGTTTCGTATTATAATTTTGTCTTAACGAAATATTTTATATATGACTTTTGTTTGATCTAAGTATATTATTGTACATACGCATTATAATTTGAATATTTGTTTGAAGTGGATAAATTTTATACATATAAAAGCAGATTAAAATTTAAATAAAAACAGTAATTCAATTCTAATTCTGTGTAGTTTATTTCAATTACAGCAAAAAACTAACAAAACTAACTTGCTCTCATATATATCAAACAAAACTAATGCCATCCATAACCATATTCCCAAAACAAAATATCTTTTAAATTTAAAAATAAAATTATATAAATAAATCAAATATCCATTTTCCTTATCTTAATATAGATAAAATTTTTGAGAACAAAAAAATGAGTTCACTATAATATACTTGACTTCTTATTTAAATTTAAATTTGTCTGTAAGCATGGAAATTTTTTTTGATTATTGCATTTTCTTATTTTAAAAAAACTTTCTTTAGAAGAAAAATTTTAAAAAATTTATTGGATCGAGTCGGAGCGTCCCTTTAAAATGGGCCTCAAATCCCAGCTTGGGCCCTAACGAACTTGGGGCATGAAATTTAAAAAAAAATTGTGTCTAGCTCGGGTTTCGAACAAAATAAAATCTGGGATTAGAACTCTAGCTCTTTCATAGTTTGTGACATGTATTAACATATTATTTAATAAATATAACCATTTTTTTTAGGTGAAATGACGGTTGGCGATCTTGTTTTGGTAAACGGGCTCATATTCCAACTCTCTTTACCCTTAAATTTTTTGGGCACTGTTTACAGGGAAATAAGACAGAGCATGATCGATATGCAGGCCATGTTTACCTTGATGAAAATACAGCCTCGTATCAAGGTTTTTTTTTAAGAAAAATAAACAATTTTTTATTTTTGATACTACATAGATACCTATTTCGTTTATATATATTTCTTTTTAGGTTAGGTAATTTTTTTTAATTCATTATATATAACTGTATTTCAATCATAAACTATGATATAATAAAAATAAAAAAGGCTTATTCTATGAAAGCGGAATTTGGAGAATAAGTTCCCAAAAAAACAGGAGTATTTATATTTTAAAATAGCAATTAAAATTTTTTAGTTTATAAAAAATAAAATTCCTTAAGTTCTAATGTAAGGGTTCTAATGTAAGGGTTCTAATTTTGCCGCCTATATTTAAAAAAATAATAATTCAGAAAACTTAATTTGTTAATATAGAATTCGTTTATATTATATATATTAAAATTATTTTATTTTTTATAATAAAGATTACATTAATATGAAAATATAAAAAAAATACGATTTTTCTAGTAAATCGGAAAGATCATAAACTATAGAAAAAATTTCTTTAAATGAATATATATTCTTTCTTTCTTTCTCATGAGAATTTTTATATTATATATATATTGTTGTGTTGGCTCAACAGCATGGAGTTCAAACCCAATGGCATCATTTAACTAAAACAAATGTGATATTTGACATGGAGTCTCTCCCCTAATAAACGTAAATTTAAAAAAAAAATGCTTTAAAGACTGGGACTGGAGAAAAAAATAAGGGGGTATACATATTTGCATTACGATTTTAAGTTGTATCTAACAAATTAACAATTTAATTATATAATCGATATGAAAACCAAAACCAGAGACACACCAATAGCATTCTTTTCACCGATGTGCCGAATACCACAATTATCTGGCACTTAACCTTATTTATATATTAAAAAACACTGAAATTACATAATTATTAATCCATTTTCAAAAAAAATATAATAAGCTGGGGAAGGATGGAGGTGGCCTTTAGGTTGGGGGAAAAACTTTATCGGCCGGGGAGGGGGTTGGTGGGGGGAGATCTTTAACTTTGAAAGGGACGTCGGCAAGTGAGCCTAAAGGTGATAATAAATTTGGTAAAATTTTAAATAAATTTAATATATAGAATTTTTTTTAACAAGCTTTGACACTCGTACAATAATTTTATACAAGTTGCCCAGTAAAGACATAAATTTGCCTTTTGCTAGATTCCCGGTCGAAATCCCCCGCCCCTTTTCTTCTCAAGCTAACATTTCACTTTTGCTTATATTTTATTCTTTTTATAAAATTTCATTTTTTTAGTTGTTTTTTTCAAAAATATTTTAGTTATCATTTGGAAATATTACATTTATTCCATAAACTCGTTTTTTTAATATATCAGAGCTGCAGGGGCGGCTATATATTTTAAAATTTAAATCGCCATTAGCTATAAAAATTAAAAATAAATGTAATATTAGTCAATAGATCTACCTCAAATCTTTTCAAAATTAAAGGAAAGATAGATGGATCCGCTATTATGCTCCTTAACCTGATACAATTTTGGCTAATTCAGATCTTTGAAACCCATATAAAATTTAAATATTCCCGCAAAACTTCTTTTGCTATAGAAAGAGATTATCCTATATTTTAACAAATACCTAATTTCAGTATTATTTGTAAAAAAAATAATTTTATAATAAGGCGCCAGCTTGTGGACTAATATTCATGAAATTAAGTTTAATTATTTTTGATTTAAGTTTTATTTAAATTAGCAGGTGTTGGGTTTTGACTGACGGGTCCCACGGAGAGGATGATATTGTTAGTGTTCGGGGGTCCAGGATGGTCGATGATGGGATCCTGGGGATCGGGTTTGGGTATCGTTTTTGTCATGGTATCCCTGGTACTACGTCGAGAAATAAATGTAACACGAATTTACTTTATTTTCTAATCAAACAGTAAAATTTCATATTATGTTATAAACAGAAAAAAAAATCATTAAATATTTAATTATCGCAATTTATTTTTCCGAGGTCTATATAGTTCTCCCTTTTTTTTAATTAAACGAGTATAAACAAATATTAATTTCATTCTTGTCCATCACGAAAACTCGCTAGAACCAGTTTTGAGGACGAAATCAAAACAGGCTCGGTATAAGTGAACAAGGAAAAATATAATTGGTAATATACGTATATTGTACAAACAAAGAGAAAAATATAAATGATAAACAAGTTATAGTAAAAACAATGGATTATATAAATTATAAACAGTGTTGAAACACAACAGCAGGTAAAAATTGTTTCATACGAATAAATTTTTAAATATTTTTTATAATGAAATTAATAATAATGTTAATATATATAAATTTATAAAAAAAATAAAAATTCGATTTGATAAATAAACACCATAATATAGGAATCAACTTATTATTATAAATAATCTCTTGATATACTAATAATTTTATCATAATATAGCAATACTATTTTCCCAATAGGGTTGTTTGAAATAGTTCATTTTTGAGCCTCCTCAAAGCAACCTGGGGAAAAATAAAAAAAAATAATTTAGACGATCGATTAATGTAAGACATTAGTATATGTCTTAAGAAAATCAAATGTAAATGTTTCTTTTTTAAATAATATATATTTTATTGTACATTAAAACAGATATTCTTTAATAACAGAAGTGGGATAAGGATAACAAAGTTCCCCACAAAACAAGCATTATTTTAGCCTCCATTTTCTAAAAAGAAACTTGAATTTAATAAATATTATAAAATTGGCGGAATAATTTTTATAATTTTTGTTCCTCTTGACATATGTCTAAGGGAAGAGAGTAGGATTGGTATAATACAATGAGTTAGTTTAAAGGATTTATTTTGTCTTGGCAATATCTTCGAATAAAACATACCATCTGGTCTCACATTATCTGATCATAAATTTGTAGGTAGTTCGGTATTCTAGTCCTCGTAAAATTACGCCTATTTATTGAATATTTGTTTTTAGAAATTAAATATTTTTTACATCACGGGTATGACTTAAATACGAATCCTTATGAATCCTCTATAATAATGCACTAATTTAAAAATATCAATTTAATTTAAAATCATGTTTAGCTCTTCAAGCTCATTCGGAAAATGTTAATATCTTATTAAAAGTATTGGTTAAAAACTAAATATCGAGTCACTTAAGAATTTTAGCTAATCATGGAGTATTTTAAGAAAAAATGAAATATATAAAAATATAAGTATTAGAACATGATACCATTAGTTTTAATAAAAATTGATTTATTTCTTCTTCTTTTTCCTTTCTTAAGGTATTAAGAAAACAAAATTATTTAAAATTTTGTCGAGTTTTAAATCCAAGAAAATTTTATCAGAATTTGGCCCGATCTTAATTAAAATGTAAATACCGAATCCGGGCAAATATTATCGATCCAAATTTGATTCAATCGGATGCAGGTCTCTCTCTACTATATAATAAAGACATAAAGATGTGTAAATTTTGGCAACTCATTTTTATCGCCCTTTATATTTTTATTAAATTAAATAGGATATCCAGACGTACCCTCCCTTGTTTCCTAATTATGCACTTCACAATAACGACATTGATTTCAATAGGGAACACCCTTTTAACGCCACTATCGAATTTTCGAACGTTAATTTTGGGTACACCCGAGAGAGGGACATAATTCAAGGCCTATCCTTCCACGTTCCCTCCGGTAAGAAAGTAGCCATAGTTGGGGGAAGCGGATGCGGGTTTGAAAATATTAAATATTCTTAAATTATGTTTTTAAACTAGCTTTTTTAACCTTAATTTCCCAAAATTACAAATCACTATTGGTCGAAGTCCACGAAAAAGCTAACAACGCCACTAAAAACCTTGCAAATATTTAATTTTTGGCGACCTCTCACAATTTTAAATTTTTGGTAGACTTATTAAATCCGACATTTTTGTTCATAAATTTTAAATTGTTTGATTGGACATTTTAAGAACATGCATTAAATAGAGATTGATTTATGGACGACCTATCCAACCAAGGATAATATGAAATAGAGATGGGTTCTGACCCCTTTTGAGGACATCGATCCCGATTAAGTTTCTTTTGTCAAAATTTCCGCTGGATAAATTTTAAATTTTCTCTACCGTAATTCGGGTCCAGAAGCCTGTTTACAGAACTGTACCTCCTCCACCTTACCCGAAGATATTGCCACAGACCATTAGTGTGCTGTTTATGTGTCATATTGTTTTTATTTTGATGGAATGCCCCGAAGGAATAAAAATTAATATTTATACTCATTTTAAATTATCATTATCATAGAAAATCCACTATAATACGTTTACTATACCGTTTTTACGATCCTAAATTTGGTATCATAAGCATCAATGGGCAGAATATCAAAAATGTTACTTTGGAAAGTTTAAGGGAATGCGTCGGTGTAGTGCCTCAAGTTTATATTAATAATATATATACTTTCTTTTAAAAAATCAAATTAATTATTTGAAATGAATATAACAATTTTTTTTTCTTTTTTTTAAAAAAAAATTCGTGCTCAAATTTAAAAGTATTTGAATATCTATTTAAAAAGATTTCTAGTTTAGAAAATATAAGATTATTTATATTGCCTGTCTGTATTCGTTTCTATGTTATGCAAGAAAAAGAGAGTTATAGAGACGTTTTGTTTAAAATTGTTCAGTTGGCCACTGCGATCGTGAAAACAGGAACCAATTTTTGGACAACCATTTGAACCCGGGGTAATATAGGCAGGGGATGGCTCAAAACTATTTTGCAAAATTGATTACCATAAAAAAAATTGATAAAATTCCCGAAATTATTTTAGATCCAAACTTGAGTGCAGGACTTTAGAAAAAGATAGAAAATAGAGAAAACCGCTAATTTTTTTAAATATGAAAAGTAAAGGTTTTATGTTTCTCTTTAGTAAAAAAATATTTTTCACGAAATATATTAAATAAAGACAAATTGAAATGTTATTATGAGCGCTTTCTTCTTTCAAATCTTTTAAAATCAAAAGGATACAGTTTTATTTCACGATACCATATTACACAACATCTGGTACGGAAACCTTAAAGCTCCACTGGAAAAGGTATATGAGGCGTCTAAATTGGCCCAGGTACACCAGGCTATAATGCTTATGCCCAAACAATACGATACCATGGTAGGGGAAAGAGGTCTTAAACTTTCTGGTTAGTTGAATGCTTTTTTAATTTTAATTAATTATTTTTTTTAACCCATACAAAATTTATAAAAATTTTATAAGCCGGTTGTCGTTTTGGTTAAAATTTTTAATTAAAAAAAATAAATAATATAATTTAAACGCATTTTTATAAAGTGGATTAAAATTTAAAAAAAAATTACTAAATTGCCTTTGTCATAATTTTATTTTGATGAAGGTGCGAAAACATTATTTTCTACTATACATTTTTAAAATTCCATCCCGTCCCGTTTTTTAAACCCAAACCCGTCCTGATTTTGGGCCGACTTGTTGGGTTCTATTTTACAAGTTTACTTTTTATTTGTTTGATAATCTTTTTCAATCAACCCTTTTTATTAAATTACCTATTTTTTTTAAATTATAATACAATTATATATTCTCTTAATATTTAAACTTAACTTAATGTCTATCATCTTCAAATAATATCTCCACTTATACCTTTCCTCCGAGATCTTTAAATGGCATCTTATATAATAAATAAGAACGGCCTTAATGCTAATCCCCAATGGACTCCTACACTTATTCAAAAGTCGCCTATGTCTTTATCTTTAGTGTATCCTTCGTAAATATCTTGAATTAGATTCGATTGCGAAGGATTATAAAAATTGATTATAACTATAAGTATAACCTATTTGATTCTTATTTCTGGTAAGTCAACGACTGATGCTATTCATGCTATGTGAATTTAGAGAAATATAATTAGAATCAAAGGAATGTGTGATTTGTTGATGGACGCTAAAAAATTAATAGAGGTAGTAAGATATTCTGGAGCCTGGCAGTTGTCCCGATAAGCAGAAGGATGTTGACCAGCAAACTATGATAGTATTAAAACAAGTAAATGAGCTAACTTCTATTAAAAATCAAAATAGCTTATGAATTTTTTAGGATTTGACCCGATAACCGATATCGCATATTTAATAATTGTATAACTTAAAATTTTTTTTTATTAATTTATTAATAATTTGATATAGCCTTTTATATAATAAATAATTTAAATTATAGACCTGCGGATTTACCATTTGCACGACCCGGCCCAGCCCGTTCTGGATTTATTTAAAAATTATTTTATCTTTAATTTTTCTAGATTATAATTACGATTTAAAAGATACCGCCTGGCCCCGTGTATTTTAAAAAAAATTAGGCCCGACCTAGGTAAATTGAAAAAAATTAAACTACGGTCCTTCTAATTTAAATATTAATCAAATTTTAGTATATACTTGGGAGTTTAAAATTTAATAATTTTTTATCCGCCATTTTCGATATATCGAATCGGATTATTTAAAAAATAAATTTCCCGAATGATCAGTTTCTTACTCGCTTAACCCGTTACTGGTTAACGGTGCATATATGCACCACCTCCTATATACCTTATTTTAACATAGTAGTTTTTATTTTAAAAAATAATAAAAAAGATTTTTATATAGTTCAGACATTGTACTTCAAAACTGGAAAAGAAAAATATGAAAAAAATATTTTTTTATGTCCCTAAGAAACCCTCAAACTTTGCGAATTTATGAGGTCTAAAATGCAAAATTTTTTAAGTGATCTCACAAGCATATTATAAAATTATTTCGATAAAAACTAGTGTGTATATATTCTTTATAGATATATCAATATTTATCAATCATTTTTGAATTTTTAAATAATTAAAATTTTAATAGGTAACCACATAAAGTTGACTGGTGCATATATGCACCGTTAACCATCTAGCAGTATAAATTATTTAAATAATTCAAACAAATGAAATTTAACATAATGAATTATAATTTTTTATATTAAAACCACTATTGTCACTAAGGGTGAGGGGAGGAGGGGTGGGTAGCTCGAGCCCCCTAAGAATTTTTTTAAAAAAATTTTATACCCAAAAAAAGACCTTTTGAAAATAATTAAAAAATTTTTTTTAACCCCCTGAGATTAAATCGAATAATATATTGTTCCTATTATAATTTTTTATCCCTATCAAATTATATGAAATTATTAGGTTCATAAATATTCAAAAGTTTAAAATTATTTTTAGCCTCTTCCTTTCTGAAGATTTTATTTTATTTATATAAAATATTATGCACCTGTTTTGTCAATTCAATCAAAATTATCAAAATAATAGATGACTAATAAAAAAATCAAGATTCTACGAAAATAATTTGTCTAGATATTTAATTTTTAATCAATTTTTTTAATGAAACGTTTTCTAACAATTGAACAAACGCTTGCTCAACTTTTTGAAGAGGAACCAATTGAAGAAAGAGATATGGTTATAATTCCGCCAAACCCCTCTGCAGTTAGTGATGAAGAAGATTTCGATGAAAATGACTTAACAAATGTCGGAGTTTTGCCTTCAGATACAGCTGGAGAATTGGAGATTCATAATTCAGTTGATGACGACCTTCCAGAACCATATTCTACAAGAAGCTATTCTCGAATTTCTCACAATTTAAAATGGAGAAAAACGGATGTTGAAAATGATTTACATGGTAAAAGTCCATCAGATATATTTTCTTTAATTTTCGACGAAGACTTATATTCACTAATTGTAAAACAAAGTAATATTTATGCTAAACAAATGAATAGACCTAACATATGCATAACCATCCAAGATATTCAGAGATTTATTGAAATTCTATTATTTACTGGATATCATTCTCTCCCACAAGAAAGAATGTACTGGTCTAATGATAGCGATATTTCTATTCCAATAATCCGGGATACAATGACCCAATTACAATTTCGAAATTTGAAATATAATATCCACAGACAATACTAAAACAGATATACATGATAGATTTTATAAAGTTAGGCCTTACATTAATATATTGAATAATAAATTTCAGCAATTCGGAATTTTCAAACATCATTTATCAATAGATGAACAGATGATACCATATCGAGGAAGACATTCTTGCAAAATGTTCATAAAAGGAAAACCAATTAGATTCGGATACAAGTCTTGGATATTGGCTTCTTCCGACGGTTGCGTATTCTCATTTGATATATATCAAGGAAAAAGCGAAAATAAATATGAATATGGATTAGGTGGAAATGTAATCATAAAATTATTAAATTGCAAAAACCAAATTATCATAAAATATATTTTGATAATTTCTTTACATCATTTAAACTCTTGTCATACTTAAAACAAATGGGATATTTTGCAACTGGAACTGTGAGGGACAATAGAATAGAGCATTGCCCAGTTGAATCTATAAAGGTTGTAGCAAAAAAAGAAAGAGGATATTATGATTATAGGTTTGAAAAATTAAACGAAATATTTGTAGTTCGTTGGAATGATAATTCGGTGGTGACCGTTGCATCGACATGCCACACTATCTCTTTGCTTTCTAATGTTTCAAGGTATTCTAAGAAAATATCTTCTAAAATAAAAATTCCTCAGCCAAATATGGTAACTGCTTATAACAAACACATGGGTGGAGTTGATCTATGTGATAATCTAATATCTACTTATAGAATAAAAATAAGAGGAAAAAAATGGTGGTGGCCAATATTCACCAATTTTATTGATGTAGCTTTGGTAAATTCATGGAAAATCTGGAAATTCGCGAATCGAGATGACAAGAAGAGTTTCTTGCATTTAGATGAGAAGTTACTAATTACCTCCTTCGATCGCCAGTAAAATAGAAAAAAATTCAAGTACAGGTCACGCCAGCCAGTTTGCATTACAGTGTGAAAACCCTATTGATTCATCTGGACATTATTTATCCAAAATTATAGATGGAAAAAGACGAAGATGCAGATATTGCCATACGCACTCAAGATATATGTGCCAAACATGTCAAATCGCACTCCATATGTTTCAAGGATTTTCATAATATATAAACATTTTCTCGTTTTTATTATAAATTACAAAAAAAGAATAAAGATATTTGTTGTTTTTTGATCTTATAGTATTTTATATAATTTTTATCTTTTTTAACCTCTTAATGGTTAACGGTGCATATATGCACCAGGCTAGATTTTCTATTTAGGATTATTTTTTTTGGCTGATTTTTTTAGAATATCATATTTGAGCATTAATCAATATAATTTGAAAAAATTGAGCATTTTTATCCACTAGAAAAATCTTGACCATTAATGGGTTAAGTAGCACACATTCATTCAGATCCGAATTGCGTAGGTCTAGTTTGAAAGGGGATAAAATAATTTTTACTACTAACGAATTGCAGATAAAATTATTTTTTTTTGAGGAACGGACTGGACTTTAAAAAGAATTATAAACCCGAATCAAGCCTTTTATCTGGTTACCTCCATATGTTTCTAAAAGAGATATTAATCAACATTATTTTAGGAGGTGAAAAGCAGAGAATAGCGATAGCTAGAGTTATACTAAAAAATCCGGCCATTTTTCTTTTCGACGAAGCCACGTCATCGTTAGACGCCATCACAGAAAAAGTTTATTCATTTAATTTATAGATATATGGGTAGAATTAAGGATCACGTGACTTTCATGTGGGATAGTGTTATTTCATATAATATAACTTTATTTGCAGTCATTTAACGACAAACTAACGTGTACCTTCACTTTAATAACTTAATACTTTCTTTATAAACTTTTTAAACAATTGTGGGGAACAAATTGTAACTTTATTAATAGATGTAAGATTTAAATTCGATACGAAATAAAATTGAGAGCTCCGAAAATATATGGAGTTATGGCCATTGACCTGGATATTATATATATAGATTCTATGCATTAAAAACGGGGCTAAATTGAACGGCATTTAAATTTACCTTATAACTTAATAACAAATCAAAATGACGTTCAATTATTTTTATTTCATATTAATATTTACAATCGTCATTAAGTCTAATTGTTATTATATATTTCAAGAATTACTTTCAATAATCTATTATGAATTTTTTAAAAAAAGAGTAATTTGATAATGGATAATTCATTTCTGTGAAAACTAGTTACAGCTAGACATAAATCAACAGAATAATCATAGCTATGCTATACACAATTTTTTAATAATCAGGTTCAGCATTTATTTTTTTTACCTTATTTAAAAAGTATGCATACTCAAGTCATCTTACCTCTTTCCTTTATCTTACTTTAAACTAAAAATGTTTCATAATAAAATTTAAATTTGGTGCTATTTATATAGCATATTCAAGATTCATTAAAAATCGCCACAGCTGGAAGGACCTCCATAGTTATAGCTCATAGACTAGCTACTGTTATGGACAGTGATGAAATATTGGTTATGGAGGGTGGAAAAATTGTGCAGAAGGGCACTCACGAAAATCTTTTAAGATCCAGTCTAAATGCGAAATTCGATAATTTTTATTATAGGTTATGGAGAACTCAGCTATCTCAGCAAAATCAATCAAAGGCAAAATTCGAATATAATCATGACAAAGAAAAAATTGAATAAAATAATTGATAAAAATATTACTTAAAAAATTGAGATATTGATAAAACCATAATTTAAAAAATTATTCATTAAATTATTTAAATTTCAAGATGTAATGTAAATAAATTTCAATTAAATTATTGACTTTATATAAATCATGTTATATCCATTTAATTATATATAATTTATAAATCTAATCAGAAACAATTATAAATAAATTTTTACAAATAAATAAAATATACCATAATGAACCAATAATTTTACAATTTGTTGAGCCATTTGCTAATTACCAAATTGAATTTTACAATTTTTTAATAAAATTTACTATAAATAACAATCTAGTAAAATTATCAATATGAAATATTATAAAGGGCCATCAATAATTTTTTTTATAAAACTTCTAATAAAATCTTCTTCTTTAACGCCCATAAATTTATCAACTTCTTTTCCATTTTTAAAGGCCATAACAGTTGGAAGTCCAGATATCTAAAATAATGAGTCATTATACACTAAAAATGTATGTAAACTTGTTCACCTCATATTTATCAGCCAGATCCGTCAAATTATCTACATTTATTTTTGCTAAACTTATATTTTTAGAATTTTTACTAATCTCTTTTTCTAATCGTGGTGTTAGTATTTTACATGGCCCACACCAACTAGTTTAATATAAAATTTAAACATTCATTAAAATTTACTCTGCATAGAAATCAACAAGAACAGGGTTATCACTTTTTATGATACGCTTTTCAAAGTCTTCATTATCTTGTACATTAAAAACAAATGTTCTAATACTTAATTTACTAAAAGATTTAGCTTTCGCCGCTAGTTTTACAAAATTTTGCATTTCGATATAAATGTATGAATGGCAAAATTTACTAACAGATGAAAGTCATTTGTTATAATCCTCTATTATATATAATTGGTAAATAGGTAAGATGCCACTTTTCCAGACTTATTTGACAGTTATATAATATATTACAGTTTATATTTTAATAAATTTTACCAATAAATGCTTTTGATAATTAATATAAGTAACAATTTGCATTCAATCTATTAACGTCATCTATTATTATTTGATATTATTAAAAATAAAACATCTTATTATTCATCCATCGAGTTAAATTTTTAATACGAGTATATTTTTGATATTACAAACTACTATTATTAGATATAATATACCAACTAGAGGCGGTGCGACAATAATATATAAAATTTAAATTGCTTTTATCATATTACTCTCATTCTTATTTTATAATTAAAAAATGTTTCATTTCTAATGTGGCATCCTTGCCGTGTAAATAACTTAACGCTTCAATATATTGGCATAATTTATTCTAAAATTTTAAGTGTTATTTATCTAACATACTAAATTCTGATATGAGTTAACATCGTGGGTGTCATGGCTAGGACTTAACTTAACCAGAATCTATTATTTGGGTGACTATAATTTTAAATTATTAATACAGCTGAGAGCATATGATTGCATATTTTAGATAAGCAATAATTGTCAACTGTGTTATCGTTTATATATCATTAAAAATGGAAGAAAATCCTTTGGAAATTTAATATCTCACAAAATTTTTCTCGATTATATCTAGCTTCCATGTCTACTTAGAGGAAGCTCAAACCATCATATAGTTTTATGATTTGGATTGGTCGTTTATATTCTCTTCTTCGAGAATTGTTGATTTGGTTAGATCTATAAATTTTTCCTTGTTAGTCCATTCTATAAAACATTGTATAAAATGGGAACATAGATTTATATTAGTTTCATGACCTTTTCTCAATGCAAGTTGCTAAGAATTAGAATATATTAGGTTTTTAAAAACCATTATCAATTGAGACATATATATGAATTAATAACCTTTTTTATTACTTTTAATTCTTTAGACGCAAAATTTTTTATATCAGCAAACCAAATTATTTTATATTGTAATGAATAGATTTTGTATTAAAAAAAATATTATTTTTAGAAATGTCTTGTAATGTTTTCATTATTTATATGCTAGTTTATTTTGTGTGCATAATATAATAAATGGCAAATATGAAATTCAGAATAATTCAGAGTAGCAATTTTCAAATATATTAATATATAAACAGGCCGAAGCCCCGCAAATTAGAAGATTTTTTTTAGTTGAGCCCCCTGAGATTGTAAACTAGCGATGCCCCTGTTTGATTACTTAGAAATATGTGTCATTATTAAATATACAACATAATTAATAATTTTATATTAATTTATAAACATATATTGGAAAATATAGGGAAATCAATTAAGCTTAAATATTAAATTTAAAATAATAAATTAACATATTTTTTGCCTAGGTGAAGCCCGAGTTGCGAATCTCAAATTATATAATCTTACTTTGGCCTCAACTATCATATAACCTCGCGAAATTCCTGGTCGATATCTTAGCTCTTTGCTATATGATAATATTAGCGATTCTCATAACTTCAGCCAAAATTATATCATATTTTTGAAATATTTCATAAAATTATTGAGAGATTAAATAATTTATTAATATATATACTAATACTAATGTCGTATTAAATCTAATGATGTTTCAGCTTCAGGTAAAATAAATGGTTCAGGCCTAGATTATTAAAGGATCGAGTAGAATATGTAACGTTGAAACTACGGAGGTTACAAGATTCGGTGGGACAGCTAACGCTTGGGATACAAGGAATTACTTTAACCATTAAGTAGTAGGACCTAAATGAATTAGGTGAAACATGTCAATAGTAACTTTCATTTATGTTAGTATCGCCAAGGGAACAAAAGCCTATTATTGAAATGATGAGGTTGAGAAAATAAAATTCAGATAGAAGAGGCATGTCAGTATAAAATAGTAATTTTAAATTGTTAGTTTTTTCAATCCAGAACCCGAGTAGTAGTTATAAATCGGCCCAACCCTAAGTCAGGGTTGAAAAATAGACCAAGACCCTACCCGACCCATTGGGAATATTGAGCTGGGCCAACAAAATATATAGAAAATTAAACTAGTTCAGTTGTAGCGTTTTTGATATCAGAAAGATATTCTAAAATATTTGGGTTTTTTAACTATTTGTGATAATATTTGGCAATAATTATTTATTATCATACTATTTATATAATATTTTTTACATTATTTATAAAAATTATAATATTCATAATTATATAAATAAAAATCAAATTGTTGTGACAAATTAATCTATCATACAAATTTGATCATGCAGAATTTATAAAGGTATATGAGGTAACAGAAATTATTGGAAAATTAATTAAATTCATATATGAGATAATAACATTATAATGATGTAAAAAATTTGTTAACTTGAGAAAAAATATATTACTTATACGATTGAAAATATTCTTTAATTTGTTGAATATCTATAGAATCAGGGCCTTGCATAGGGTTTTATGTGTCCAGGAAAAGCAATTCTGCAGCCCTTAAAAAAAGATACATTTTATCTATTTAGCAAATTGTGAGGTATAACTGCATCAAAAAGGGAGATTTAAAATATATATTATTATATTAAAGCAATTATGCCATACAAATGAAATTATATTTGACCGATTTTATGTAAATATATTTCCAAATAAGTAGTGAAAAGAGAAATTTTATAATATTTTAAATGATTAACGTTAGCTTAAGGAAACCCTGAGTTTTGCGACTCAAAATTTGACAAGAATTCAGGCTAAGTCGACTCGTCTTAGCCGATTAACAACACTAATATTAATAGGTAGTCTTGTTAACTGGCTCGATTTGAGCCTATTTAAAAAAAGGCTAACTCAACATTTTACCCAGAAAGCTATTATGCAAGGCTTAAAATTGTGGTCATAGATGACACAAAATTTGGACATTTATCAGCGAAATGTCGATAAAAAATATTATTAATAGTATGGTCATATTCTTAAAATAATACACATGTCATTTCGAATTTAAAAATATTTAAATTCACAAACAAGATGGTTAAAATTTTTTGATATTTCATCTTGAGTAAAAATAATAGCACGCCTATTCAAAATAAACCTGCTGACTCTGAAGCCTACTCATCGAGCATACTCATGCGGCTCATTGAGTCGCTTAATTTGAAATAAGTTTTTGAGACTCCAACTTGAGTTCAGAGTCGTAAAAATTCGACTATTTAACAATACTAATGATTAACCTACTTAATTATTTTTTTAAAAAAAAATACAATAAATCATTAAGCCTCGAAAATATTTCCAATTTTTATTTTTGGATTTTCTCTAAACTTTGATTTATATGCGAAATTGTTAATTGTGTTGTTTATTCAAATTTGTGAAATAATTTATTGAGCATTAATTTAAATGTTTTGTTACATATTGTGTTGTTTATTCAAATTTGTGAAATAATTTAATGAGCAACAATTTAAATGTTTTGTAACATATACCAGTTGTTTGAAATGTTTTAGTATATATACCAGTTGATTATTATACATATGATTATTATTATTTGATTTTTAAAAGTAGAAATAAAATTTAATCCAAAACACAAAATATAACTTTTTTTATTCTTGTTTTCTTCATGGCGCCCCGTTACGTTTTTGTGTAAAAAAAAGAAGAAAATATATAAAATTTACCTAAAATTAAAAAAAATGACTACCTATCGTGATGACTACCTATTGTGATGATTGCTTAATCTATTGAGATGACTACCTTATCTATTGATATGACTACCTATTGTGATGACTGCTTAACCTATGGAGATGACTACCTATTGAGATGACTACCTTATCTATTGATATGACTACCTATTGTGATGACTACCTATTGTGATACTTAACCTATTGAGATGACTACCTATTGAGATGACTACCTTATCTATTGATTTGACTACCTATTGTGATGACTACCTATTGAGACGACTGCTTAACCTATTGAGATGACTACCTATTAAGATGACTACCTAATCTATTGAGATGACTACCTTATCTATATATATGACCAAGAATCATACCTTAGCACGTTCTTTCATGCAAAAAGCTTCTTTCTTCATGACGTCCTGGCTATGGATGTTGGACTGGAATATGATAACCAGCACCTAACCTAATGTGACAACCTAGAAAGAACCAATATGGAAGTTGGACGTTAGGTTATGAATTCTATATTGTGAGACCAATGATTATTACTTATTATTCTAATCCACGTAAGAAGAAAAGTTATTAAAAATTAATTTTATGCCGAGATAAAGGCATGTTGTAAATTTACTTATTAAAATAACATAAATGTAAATCAATAATGGACATATTTGAATACATAAAAAGCCTTAAAAAAATTATTTACTTAATTTCTTAGTGAAATATTGATATTTTTTTGATTTCTTGTATGATGACCAATTGTTGTAAATTAACTAAACCTAAAGATGAATTTTTAGATATAATTAAAAATAAACCATTAAAAATCCTAAACTAGAAGATAAAACTTTAATTTTAAATATATTAAAATGTAATTAAAACATGAATTAAAATGTTTAAATCACATGATTGATTTCAGGCGCGTACGCAGGAATTTAGTCTGGGGGGGGGGGGGATAATAAAATTTTTTAAGAAATATTATTGTTTTTTAAAAATATCAAGCATAAATTTATTAGGACTAATAACTATTTCTAATACACAATTTTAAATTAATGTGAATTATAAAAAAATTATATGTAAAGAATCACTTAAATGACCAAAAATAGATTTGAATTTTTTGAGCTTTAAAATTTATATAAAGTATAAAAAATTTAAATGTTAGAAATATAAATTAATAAACAAAAATCTTAGGGAATAATTGTATTTTGTATGTTATATTATTTACAATGTAAAATCCAATCTTCGTTGGGATTAAGTTAATTTTTCAATTATCTCATCCTTGCTTGTTGTCAAATGCCTATGAATATTCAAAAGATCCAAACCTTTCAATCTACTTTCAAAAGTTGTACTTCTTGGTATGTTTTTCAGAGACCTGCAGGCCCGGCCCCCGGGCCGAACCGTATGGCCGGGCCCGAAATTTTAAAAAAAAACACCAGGGCTGAGCCTGAATTTTAAAAAAAAACATCTAGGCCGGGAAATTTTTTTTAAAAAATATCCGGGCCGGATTGTATATTTTAAAACAGCCGATATTTGAAATCGTTATTATTAGCTATAAAAATCAAAAATAAATAAAATTTATTTTAAAAAAATCCGCGTCGGGCCTGAAAATTTTATTTTAAAAAAGACCGGGCCTGGCCTGAAAATTGAGCTTAGCCGTAAAAATCTTTAAAATAATCCGGGTCGTGCCCTGCAAATGGTACCTCTGCAGGGCTCTGTTATTCTTCTTAAAAAAGAGAATGTTCTCTCATTAGTTAATTATTGGGAAGAGTTGCTAATATAAATATAAACTCTTTTAATACATTAGGAATATAATCTAAAATGTGTTTAAAATAATGCAGAGCATCCATAGCATTTTTTGGGACTGTATCAACCATAGTTAATCTTATAAACATAGTTATTCAGCTAATAAGGCATCATAAGATACTTTAACATCTTCATGATAAAAATCCAACAAATATTTTTTTTTCTATCACCATCTGAAAAAAGTTGGGAAGGCTTTTATGGAAATAATATTTGCAGATTGGTAAGTGCTGCATAATGAATTAAAAACCATTCATTTATTTGGTTTATAAATTTGTATCTAAGATATACTCATCTACTGATCCTATATTAATGTTTTAACTATGAGCTTGCCTTGCTGCAAGTCGAGTGAGACAAATATTAAACACGTATAGCTCTGCTTTTGACTTAACAATAACATATAAAATATGAAATTATTCATAAACATTAGCCCTAATTTCCTTCAATTTTAATAAAATGCTCTCCGCTATTCTCATCTTCTTAATCAAGTCATCATGTTTTTGAAATGTCATCCATAAAATAATTGTACATTCTAATGAGAAAAATTTTTTGGAATAAGCATTAAATCCAATAATTTTCCTGCTTCTAAGGAAAAATTCCTTTCAGGCCATTGTGATATGTCTGTAATAGCAAATAATCGGCTCTTCTAACTCCATAATAGCTGTTACTGCTTGATGGCGGAGACTCTATCTCGTAGGACAAGGTTGCAATTTCTTTCTCCCTGTTGGACAATTTCAGAATAATTATTATTTGACTAGAAATTTATATATGGTAGATAAATATTATGCCACTAAAAATTTGAAAATAATAAGTTAATATTACGCTGGAAAACTTGAATTTTAAATTAATTGATTAACTTAGTGATGAATGTGATAATAGATGTAATTAAATATATATTTAATATGAGATAGGAATAAATATTAACAAATATAAATTAATATAGTATAGTGTAAATTTAATTCAAAACATTTCCATATTTATTAATTTATTTGAAAATAAAATTATTTGACTTATAAAAAGTTGTTAAAATAACATATTTATATATTCTTAACAATTTTTACAAGTTAAAATTTTTATTTACAAACGAATTATAAAATATGGAAATGTTTTAAATTAAATCTGGACAACACTCTAAACAAAAATATTTTTGAAAAATATATCCGGCATCTGCATTTTTTGGCTTTTGGGGGGGGGGGGTTATCCCCCTGCCCCCTCCCCCGCTGCGTACGTCAATGATTGATTTAAATAACTCTAATAAGTAATACTTAATATGATAAAAATGTTTTTGAAATAAAGCTTTTGAAGACAAGTTATGTAACATCTTCATTTTAGATAAGTATTTAAATAATGTGGTGTGAAATTAAATTTTTTATTTAAAGAGAGGCAAATGTAAATAATATTTTATTTGCATATTTAAACCTCGGAGATTGAATATAAAAAAAATAAATTAAATATTAAAACGCAACTTAAATTATTAAAATAAAATATTAAAACGCTACAATTAAAATATTAAAACGCTACTTAAATTATCAAAATAAAACGCAAAATTTAAAAAAAAAACGCGAAATTTTATATAATCTTTTTTGATTTATCATTCTTACGGATATCTACATATTTAGCATTCCATACTCCAAAATTTTTATTCCAAATTCTTTTTTCCAAATTTAAAATTTTATTCCATATTCCATATATTCAAATTTGATCAATTATTCCTTATGATAATGATAACGTACAACAATTTTAACAAACCTACGAAAACGTATGGACTCACGCGACTGAGACAGACTTATGCGCCCACCGAGCAGCAACTTGATGCTTTGTCGAGGAGGGGAATGTTAATTGTGTTGTTTATTCAAATTTGTGAAATAATTTATTGAGCATTAATTTAAATGTTTTGTTACATATTGTGTTGTTTATTCAAATTTGTGAAATAATTTATTGAGTATTAATTTAAATGTTTTGTTGCATATACCAGTTGTTTGAAATGTTTTAGTATATATACCAGTTGATTATTATACATATGATTATTATTATTTGATTTTTTAAAAGTAGAAATAAAATTTAATCCAAAACACAAAATTATAATTTGTTATTTCTTGTTTTCTTCAGAAATATTTATATTTATTTCATATCTTTGACCTAAATGATACCACCATAAATAATTAATTTCATCAATGACACTTTCTCCTTTCACCTAATAAAATATGTTAATTCCCCCCCCCCCTAATTAAATTTATGCTGCCCAAAGGGCAAATAATTCTATCATGTTAACATATATTTAATTCATTTTCAATTTCGCCTCTCCATTAGAATGGCATCCTGCGAACTAATACTGTGGTAAATACCCCTCCTTTAAAGGTATATCGATTTAATAAGCCCACTAAACGTCCTATTTTTAAATTTATTTCCTATTTATCCCTTAATTTAATCACTATATTTTGCAACATTTCCATTTTATGTGATTCCCCTTATGAGATAAGCAATGGAGACATGTCAAATATAAATTAACCCTTCATTCAAAACAGTCACGTGACATTTTACATTTTGCGATTACCTTAGCTTATCTAGTAGACTTGTAAAAAAATGTCATCAACGGTAAATTTAATTCTATTTTAATGATCTTATATATCTTTTAGCTACCTCTTAACCCTAAACCTTTTTTAAATAGTTTGACTGGCAAAAAAGTTATAGCTAAATTAAAATGGGGTATGGAATATAAAGGTTTTTTAGTATCTCTTGATGGTTACATGAATTTACAGGTTTTATTAATTTTCCAACTTATTTTATCTTTTTACAAGTTGGCTAATACCGAAGAATATATTGATGGTCTACTAAGTGGAAACTTGGGTGAAGTTTTAATTAGGTAATAATATTTATAAATTATAATTCAATGTTTTTAGGTGTAATAATGTTATGTATATAAGAGGATGTGATGAAGAAGATTCTATTAAGGAAAAATAACAATTTTTTTTGAAGATATGTATTCTACAATTATGTTTATAAATATGTTTTGTTACTATGATTGTATATAAATAGCTTGTTTATTTCTTTAATTTTTAATAAAGTTTCAATATAAATGATCATTATATTCAATAATTTTAAATTTTTCTAAAATTTAGGAGTTTATATGAAAATATTGTGATAGATTACAAAGATTATGTACAGCATCTTTAGCCATATAGTGTCTCTTTTTAAACTCAATTTTTATTTCAAAAATTCTTGAAGATTTTCCAAATATTTAAATCTTAATGAAAAATATTATTTCCTTTAAAATATATAAAATTATAAGCATATTAGATTTAAAATTTTACATATTACTTCTCTTTTATTCTAATCTTTTCTGAGCCATACCTCTCTTTCATTCATCTTTAGAAAAGACTTGACATTTTCTAAGTTATTAGACCAAATAATCGAGAGTTGCCATATTATTTCAAAATTGATTCATATAAATTTACAAATATTCTCATCCTACAAATCTATTGATATTTAAATTTTAGATTATAATATATATCAGTGTCCTGCAGAAGTACCAATTTTCCAGCCCAGATTTGTAAAAAAAAAATGGCCCAGCTTAGGAATATTTTTCAAAAAATATTAACTAGCACCAAACATTCTATCACTTATTGCTTGCCCCCCTCTCTCCTATTCCTATATTTATAAAAATTTAATTATTTACAATTTAGATTATATTCCATTACTTTTATCTTCCTGCAATTCTGTCAACACTGCAAACTTATCACACTTCATCAAAAAAAGTTATATTTTATCTTAGTCAAGGTAGGCAACAATTTGGCCCTGTTTAAGAATGAAACAAGCTGTAAAACTGATTATAAAAATTGTTTTGAATATCTTTATAAAACAATATATTATTATATAAAATTAAAAAATTTAATTTATTTGCAAATATTAATAATAAAATATTATAAATATAATATACAACTGTAACAATATTATTTTTATCTTCATTAAGATTTGATTGAAAATTTTCTCCAATAAATATTCCTTTGTGTTGTTTGGTAATCTATTTCTCTTTCTTAGTTACCAAGTAACCTACTTAAGAAAATAATTGTTCAATTGAATAAATTCTAAAATTTTTAGCAATCCAGAAAACTGAACAGTTAATTTTCATTTTTATAATCTTATATTTTGAACTAATAGTAATAATATTAAACTAAGGATTTGATGTAAATCACCCCAATTTTTAAAAAATAATCAATGATTTAAATCAAAATTTAAAATAGCGAAAAATAAAAACTTAGATAGGCCAAATCTAAATTAAAACAAATTCCACTTTAATCACCACTTGCTAGACATGAAATTTTATTTTCTATTTCAATTTTTGACATAGTAGAAAAATAGCAGCTGATTCTATTCAAATATTTAATATTCTAAATGTAAAACGAAACTAATATTAAAAATTTACACATATTTTAATTTTTTTAATTTCTTTATGATAAAATAAAAATAGTCAATTAGTTAAGATTATGATATAACATGTTAAAAATCACAAGTAATATTTATATCATCGAAATTGATATTAGAATTTACTTATATAATTTAGGAATTTATATCTAATAAACATTCTTTACCTTTTTATTTGTTTTATGCAATAATACAAAATTTGGTTACAAGAATTTCAAAAATGATTTAAGGCGCTTAAACTCTCTGATATTGAAGGCTAAAAAAGCTACGCTAGGTATTCCTCATTTTCATCTAACTGGAATTTAATTACTTTGGATGAAAAAATAAGAATGAGGAGCCCTTCTACATGTTTGTGAGCAAGCCGCATGTACTTGTATGCACAATTAAACGTCTATAGGCTAATAAAGAAAAGTTACAAAATCCTATAATTTATATAATGACATTTTGATTTAACTAATTTTATTTTTACAATAATTTTTTAAAATTTTTGATAAATCGACAAAAATATTTCTAGCATTCATATAGCTGTTAAATGATTTCAGCAAAACTCAAGTACCACCAAAATTAGACATTTTATTTTATATTAAAAATCTTAAAAAATGATATAATGACTTATAATAATGAATTTTTTTTACTAGTAAATTTAATTAAATAATGCTCCTAATTAATAAAGTACCTAGATAACGATACAATTTCCTTCTAAAACGTGGGTGTCGTAAAATGTCAATCATGAATTTAAACTATAACTTATTCAATTTCAAATAAAAAGGTTAGTTTAGAACCTTTATTAACTTAACCATTTATAGTAAATGTTAAAAATGTTTTCATGATGTTCATTTTTTAAATTCATAAAGCTAAAGATTCTGAGTTAAATTAAACCTTTAAAGATATAAGAGCCTTTTTGTAGCATATAAATCGCTGATTTTTCATAAAACTAAGTTTAATTACGGTTTTTTATATAAATTTTATGATCATTGTCTTATTCTAGAAATATCATCTAATAATATAAAATTAGTAAAAATGGCAAATCAAACAACTGGCTCGTTGGTCTAGGGGTATGATTCTCGCTTTGGGTGCGAGAGGTCCCGGGTTCAAATCCCGGACGAGCCCTTTTTTTATTTATTGTTCAATTATTTATAATTTTGTCATGTTAAGATTTAAAATAAATTCTACAATTAAAATACTTACTAAATTTATTTTCAAAATAAATCAATATTTTTGAATAATTTTCATTTTAAATGTAAGAATAATTTTAATAAGTATTAATAAAAATTTGAGACAAAAAATTCATTTTTTGCTTTTATAAAGTTAGAAAATTAAATATATATTTTTTAAACTAAATTTAAAAAATTTTTTGAGTTTTTTTAAAAAATGAATAACATGTCATAATCATGGGGATTTATATAAATTTATTTTCCCGGAAAAGATTAATCTTTGCTTTTTAAAAAAAAGATCTGCAGGCCGAAACCAACTATAAAATTGTCATCTCAGAAATTGGTATGATTACAAATCAGGCCAGGCCAAGATATTTTGAAATAAATTTAAATGATATTAAATATAACCAGTTGAAAAATCGTATGATGGATACGAATTAAACATTCGCTTCTCATATTTGGCAAACATTCTAAAAATAAAAAGGATATAGCCATAATTATTTAGACTCACTAAATTTCAAAAAACCCATGACGAACCATTAAATGGGAGCATATAGAAAAAGCCTGACCTAGCCGTAAAATAAATTTTAGCCATTTTACCCGATTCAAAAACAGTGAACCGCTGGTTCATATAAATTTAATTATTTTATAACAGAATCTGTGCATAAATAAATTAATATTTATATAGAATATTTTTAAAAAGACTGTCATCCACCAAAGTAAATTCCTAGCTACTTCTCTGCATTAAAACAATAAGATGTGAAATGTTAGTGAACCTCTTCTCTAACTTATCTATTACTAGTTAACCCTTTGATAATCTGAATTGGAAGCCACTTAAAAAATATTAAATTTTAAACTTAATGCTTAGAACATCTCTATTAAAAAATATTATAATTAAAATATTTTTTTAATCATTTCAATTTAGTATACTACAAGTTATATGAAATTTATATTTAAAAATAGGGGTTAATCAAATATGAAATTTATTTTTTAAATTTAATCAGTGTTAAAATTTTATAAAAATAAGATTTTATGTTTTTAAAGCTATAAATTTACTAATTTTGACGATTAAAACAGATTTAATAAGATGGAGGTTTAATCAATGCAATATCTTTATCAAAATTTATTTAAAATTTCAATGCTCCTGATATGGCTGGTGGGTGGTGGTATGCACATGACATGATACCACTTATTTTTTTTAAATATTAATAAAAAATTATTTTATTTATATCAGAGACCTGCAGAGGTACCATTTGCACAGCGAAAATTTTCGGCCCGGCTGGCCCAGATTTTTTTTAGAAAAAATTTTTAGGCTCAGTCTAATAATATATTTTTTAATATTGATTTTTATAGCTAATAGGCGATTTAAAATACATGGCTCGGCCCGGGTATTTAAAAAAATTTTAGGCCTGGCCCGGGTTTATTTAAAAAATTAAACGGCTCAGCCAATGTACCTGACCCTGGTTTAGGACCAAGCCTGCAGGTCTCTGATTTATATAGATAAAAATAAAACTTATTATAATAAAAATAAAAATACGTGTTTTTCAAATAGGTCTTGGCGTTATGAAAATTTCTTAAATTAAAAACGTATAGAATTGGGGTAAAATTATTATTGTAAGATTGTTGCTCCTTAGTTATGTTTTAATCTTTATTTATATATAAACTCATATTATGTTTCTTTTCAAACTTGGAAGAATTTAAATTTTTAAAATTAACACAAGACATTATGCTTTTTCATTATTGATATATGAGGGTAGATACTATTCCTGATACTTAATCATGGAAGTATAAGATTATAATTTCAGTAGATTATGATCTATCTTATAAGTTCTACAGAACTGAGAAGCTAATTTTTGTTTAATGTAGTCATGCATCATGCCATATCGTTTCACTTAGTGCTGTGAACATTTCTTTAAAAATCGAACACGTTCTCATTCAACGTTCAGTGACAAAAATCTAACGCGTTCACATTCATGTTAACCTCCACAAATAGCAACGCCATTACGTTCGTTAAAAACTTTATGAATAAATTATTTTAAAAAAAATTTAATTTAATATAAATAAATACATAATATTTTTTAATAAAATATATTAGTCATGTTTAAAATTAATAGTTTTTAGATAATAAAAAATTATTTTTATTTATTAAAACTTTTTATATTAATTTTTAATGTATAAAAACTTTTACATATTAATATATATAAATTCATAATATTTTAATTAGTGTTCAACTATTAAAATATGAAACCCTTGATAAAAACTTAAAAATAATAGCGAAATATTAAATAATCACCAAATGTAAATAAATTCTAAAAGATATTAATTATTTTATATCTATTTATATAATAGATTATTTTATATAATATAACTAGATGATTTTTACTTTATGTATCAATTATTAACAGGATACTTATAGTTATATTATATAAAATAATCAATATTACAAACAAGTACTCCTTAAATAAGAACTTTAAGATTTATCCTTTATGTATCAATTATTAACAGGATACTTATAGTTATATTATATAAAATAATCAATATTACAAACAAGTACTCCTTAAATAAGAACTTTAAGATTTATCCTTTATGGACACATTTTACATATGGTAAGGATGGTATTAGTTTAATGAATATAGAATGTTACTGTAAAGTATTTATTATATTTTGGCCATATGGTAATGTTAATTCATATGATTCTGAATTTTCAGAATCAGTTGATGACAATGAAATGACAACATCCATGTATACGCTAATCTATAAATAATATTTAAATGAATAAACTATGCCATAGGACAAAAATAGTAGCTAGTTAAAAAATTCAAATGTGATAACCCTATTTTCTTAAAAAATTTAATAGTAAATTAATATTTTTTTATTTTCAAATGAATAAAAATAAGAAGAACGAACGCGTTTATTATATAAAAAAGAAACGCGTTCATGTTCAAAGTTCATCAAAAATAAAAGGAACACCACCGTTCATAATTTTTTTTCAAAAATACGAACTTCGTTCCAAACGCGTTCCTTTACAACATTAGTTTAATTATATTATTCATATTCATGATCTATATCTAACATGGTGTTATTAAGGTAATTTTTTACACATTCTACATAAGTTTATACCATACCTCTTTAATTCAATAAACATAAGCAACTTAAAATTTTTCAATATATATAATTTATGAAGGTGAAAAAAAATATACTCATGGGAGAGTTATTATTTTTTTTAAAAATGAGATTATGGGGCCAATCCTTTATGAATACAAAAAAAAAACGAAAATACTTACTTTCCTTTAGTGTCATTTCAGAATTAACAAAAATGACCTGTAGTCATATCTTTAGTCTAATAATTGTTTTTAAAAATATTCAATTTGCCGTTGAAAATTACAGAAAGAAAGAAAGAAAGATGCCTCAAATTGTGAATTAAAACTTACTAAAACATAACAAGTGCAAACTACAAACGTATATTTACAAAAATATTCAACGAATAATTATACCCATCTTATTATTCATTTAATACGAATATATTAATTTTTTATTAAAATAAGCTCATTTTTTTAAGGAAACATCTTAATTTAAATTACATTTGAATATTTTCAATTTGTGGTGATTTTTATATAAATATTTTTAAAATTATAATAAATTATTGATAAAATATAATAATATCGTAATACATGTGCATTAACATCAAACATTAAGATAAATTGAATATTATAAAAAAAAAATAGGTAATAGCATTGAAATTTTCTAATTGATATCATTATCATAATTTGAAGTAGTTGGTATATCGCTATCATCCCTTTCCAACCAATATGTCTTAAAATTTCGATCTTCCTATATTAATAAAATTATATAATATTATATTATATCATTAATAACATTCAATAATCTATGGTTTTTTCTCATAAATCTATTAAAATTATATATATAAACTATAGATTATATTCAGGGTTAGTGAGGAGAGACAGGTAAGAAACGTAAATATTTTACCTCACCCTATTCCCTGCAAAAAATACAATAAATTTGGGGACCTCCCAATAATTTGAGACTTCTTGACCCCCCCCTTCCTTTTTGCAACAAATTGATTGAATTTCTCCCCTATTAATCCCCTGGGAGAAGACTTGCAATGCACAGAAGGGCACATATAAAAAAATATATTATATGAGGCTATGACCAAATACATTTAAAGAAACCTCAAAATTTCAAAACCATCATAACTTTATAAAATTATGAAACATTCAAAATCTTCCATTAAATTATTTTTAAAGTTTTGTAAATTTTGAGATAGATAATTTTTACTAAATTATTTATACTTCCCATTTAATCTAAATACTTCCCATTTTGATTAATATAACTGCCCATTTCTTAGCATAATTTGAAAAATATACATTAATATTGCTTACTTTTTGTAAAAATCTTACAACTTTATCAACGTTAAGCTAAAATTACTTAAATTTTATTAATTTCTCTAACTTTAAAAATAGTTCTCTTTTTTTACATTTACGGAACGGATGTAAAAAACGGAACTGTCTCCACTGAATGCAGCCTAAATGCCTCTCAGAGACCGTTCTGGGTTACCTCTTTTACGCTGCGCTTAAAACGCAAACAGTCCCCCCCCCCACCCCATCATTTAACACGCTGATTTGTTTTTTAAAATATATATAAAGTTCTGTAGATTTTATAAATGGCACCAAAATAATTTTAAGTGGCCTAATAAATATTTATCAATTTAATAGGCTATTAACAAATGATATAATCTTAATTTTTAATAAAACCAAACATAAAAGGAAACCTTCACGAGTGATTTTTATAAGACATAATTTAAGATTGCTTATTGAAAATGTGTACATTCTAGAATAATGTAGCGTTTAAAACAGCTTATTATTCTGAAAAATTAATTTAAGCGTAGCGTTTTAAAGCGGCTGTTGTATATCTCATAATATATCAAAGATCTCGAGTGTTTTGTAAAAGAATTCTAAATCATTCACCAATTTATGAAAGCTTATCTATATAAGTTTTCTTTTGCATTTAATAACTTGTCCAAAAAAAACCATGCTAAATTTTAATTAAAATAGGAAGATCGGGCCTAAAACGCCGCCTCTATTTGTTATATAAAATATTGTTAAATTTTGAGGCGACGCGTAAAAGAAGTGACCCAGGACAGGCTCTACTATAATTCAATACACTTGCATCTTATAAATTAATTGTCTTACATGGAAGGTTATCTATAAATTTTTTTTCGAAATTTAATAATGTGTCTTAAGAAAACCATGCTAAATTATAAATAAAAGTTTGAGTTTCTTATCTGACATTTGCGTTATAGTTAGTCTTGGCTCAATCTATTCATATTTTATGTATTATCTTATTTTTTTCTTAGTTAAATTTTATCATTCGCAATGCATCAAATTTTTTAGAAGAATTTCTAACAATATAATTTATATTAAAAAATTTGCATTTGATAAATATGATTCAAAGTGTGAAGAAATGTAACTTTTCTAATTAGCTATTTGAAAATTGTAACATAACTGTTTATTATTATTTTCTAAAAGTAACTTTTAACGAAACTATTTTACTAATTTTTCCTCGTTCCACAAAGTGTTTTCGATAAATATGTAACCCGGGAAATTTTCCAAAACTGTCTTTGTCATCTCCGATATTTGAATTTTCATAGCTTAGTATTGTTATAATAAATTAAAAATTTTCGATCAGATACAGAATTATTTATAACTACTCAAAGGCTGGTGCTAAAAGTTACCTGAATCGACCTACATATACAAGTAGATAGTATAAACACGCCAACTAAATAATGCAACTTGATAAACAACGAACTATAATTTGATTAGTTTATACAATTTTATACATTTATAATAACCAAGATAGATCCATTTAAAAAATATTATTGACCAGAATTTTATTTAGCATTAGCCAGGGTTGTGCATTTGAGCCGTCAAATACGTTTCGGTCAATTGACCGATATTTGAAAGGTCAAATATGGTCAAATTTAAATATATGTTTTTCTAAGTCAATATTAACATTATTATGAATATAATTAAAATGAATCTATAATATTAATTTTTTAAATTCATTGTCATTCAATAACTGACGTTTAGCTCTCTGTAACAGAGTCTTGTTCTGATTCATATTCAATGATAATTTTCTTTAATATTTTTTAATCAATTTTTCTGATGTAGAGATCTTTCGATTTCTATTTTCATAAGAATGTTAATCCAAATCGACCTATTTCTTTCTAAAGAAGAATTAGAACTAGGAATTGTTATTCTCTTAAGGGTCATGGTTGGTAAAAGTTTAATATATTAACTTGATGTTGGAATTGATTGTTTCTTATGGAAATTACTGTTTTCCACATAATTTGTTATTAAACATGCTGCATTTGCTTCTGAAATTAATTAGGTCACTTAAAATATTTTGGTCATCACCACCTTGTAAATTGGCTAATTCTTGGATTATATCATATAGAATTCACTACTAGTGAGATGCTCCTCTTGATATTGGGAACCCAAAAAATAAGCAACATTGTGATCACATGTATTATATCGTTTTTTCCTTTTTTAAACATATTTTAAATTTTTTTTTCTTTAGATTTTTTTAGAGTATTTGACCGTATTTGACCAAATCAAATACTGCTCCTGTCAATTAACTGAATTTGACCGGTTATTTGTCTGAATTTGACAAGTCAATTGACCGACTTGCCAACCTTGGCATTAACGGAATATGTACTTCCTTTTAACAAAAATAGCTATATAAATAAATTTTTGTTGGATAAAATCATGTAAGAATAGCTGAAAATGTTTTGATATCGTAGCGAATAAATAATAAAGCCTTGGGAGTGAATGTAAAAAATGGGCCTTCAACTCTCAATTTTTAGAAGGTGGTTTAGGGTATCTAATAAAGAAATTAAAGTTTCTAACATTTTCTAATTAATTTTAATTATTTCCTTAAGGATTTCGGTGGTTTGAAATTCAAGATAGATAATTAAAGAGTTAAATGTTGTGATAAATTAATTTTAGTATAGATTTCTGAGCAGGGAAAGAAGAGGTTTGAGTTAGTGAGATTATGTTTTTAAGTAATTTGGTTGGGAATTATATTGGGCCGGCCAATTTTTTATAGATGTAACTTTTTTGCAAAAATATATAAAAAGGATAGGCTTCACATGTGAGAATTCCTTAAGGAAATATAGGGAAACCAGGGAAAATTAGACAGAATTTTGTAAGTCACCACCTTTTAACTTTTTTATCCATTGAACGAATCTGTCTAAATTGGTCAAAATGTGTATATTTTTAATAACTTCTTAAAAAATTGTTTAACTTGCTGTAATTATATATAATTACAGTAAGTCAAACAATAAAAGGAAATGTTTAAAAACAAATCATCTAATCCCAACCCTAACCCTATGGGATGTAAATACTTAAAAAATGGAAAAAAATTAACATAGGTCCTATTACAAGTATATTTTATATTGTAATATTTCATATTTATAATAAATATATTAAAGAATATATTATGACCAGTTATATGGCCAGATAAAGCATGCCATGTATTGTCTAGCCAGAAAAACAACTTTCACATAACCTCACCTACCTCAAAAATGATTATAGATAGAGCTTTGATTTAAAGTTATTATAAAGATTAAGAATTGGCTATACATTGATATTAAATTTGAACTCAAATTAATCCCTAATTTTGGAAAAAGCAAAATCATGAGCAGTCATACCAAATCTCCCCTATTAACAAAAAATACTGATATATGACTTTATTTGTAGCTAACTTATTTACCTAATAATTTATTTAAAATTATCAAGTGTAAATATATAACTACTTTCTATTAGCTGTAACTAATATTTTAACTTATTTTCATTTGTTTCTTTATAATGACTAATGTAATATCTGTGTATAAATAAAATTATTGGCGGATACTTAGATAATAGACAGAATAAATAACAAAATGAAATGTATTTAATCAAAAACCCTTACTTTAGATTCGTTATAATTAAATTGCTAATCTAATTTTATTTGCATCATAATTTAATTCAACCCTTTTCTTGGGTATAAGTTAGCACCATATAAATTACTTATAAATAATGATTAGATTGACATGAATGGCCTTGCATACCTCTGCCCGACTTGTCCCTAGTCCCTTACTTTGATAAATATTGAAACTAAAAATATAGTTACAATTTTTATAGCAACAAATTCACACGGATGATAGAACAGGGTTTAGGATTTCATTTGATATTTATGAGATAATAAATAAAATAACATGGGATAATTAAATAATAATTTTTCTGTCATAATTACCATGTATTTTCAATTATTCATAACCGACCTTGGCATGCATTATAAAATTTAAGTCGTTGTTTATCAATATGTATTTTTCAGTATGTGCTCCATTCATACTAACTCAAGTGTGGTAATCGGCCATAAATGTCCCAAACAAAAGTCTGGTCAAAAGACATCAGGCAAATACCCCCGGAAAAAATGACACTGGAAAAATTACCTATGGACCGAAATATACCAAAAAAGGGTGTATTTTTTTTAGTAATTATAATAATTTTTAAGATTAAACAAAAAAAAGACATGGACATGTTTGTATAAAAAAATATAAAAGATTATTAGGCTATGCCAGAGCATTCCAGACAATTTCAGTTAATTTTTGTAAAATATAAATATACATAAATTAAAAGTATCAAGAGTATTACAGCAAAATTGTCAGAAATTCACAAGGGTAGGTACTTTATACAACCAGAATACTATTCCGGCATAATCATACCTTAAAATATTGAAGGAAAAAAAAGGCGTTATTACTATAAATTATTTTTTAAAAATATGCTCCAATCCCAGATTTTCTAAAACCCTCACATTTCCATACATCTCGCACCATTATGTACCCCCATTTTATTTTAATTTAAAGATAATTTTGTCTGGTTGTTCCAGGGGTATTTTTGTTCTGGAAAATCTTCCAGTGTGTATTTCTAACAAAGTACAAATAAACCTTTTCCCGTTGATTCCATCAATGAAGCTATTCTGACACTCTCACCAAATAAACAATATCGAGGCATTTTTGTTCCTACAACACCAGCTGCGCAAGGACCTTATTTGTGATAGAGGCGAGGCGGAGGTTAAAATTAATTATTCATTTTATATATATTTATTTTTTTTAAAAAATTATTTGAAAATAATAATGATTTTATTTTAAAATATTGAGCTATAATATTTAAATAAAATTAATTTAGTATTATATAAACAATACCCGAATGTACACCTATTCGAATCTCAATGTGATTCTCTTTAGTGTCAGATCCATTTGGATTAATTTTAAATTCCCGCACCAAGTCTAAAATTTTGAATGCCATTTTACATATTTCATTGGCATGATTATCTTTATTCCTAATGGGAACACCTGAGGCAATCATGTAAGCATCTCCGATTGTTTCAATCTATCATTTTATATGTATTATATATTTAAAATAATATCAAGAATTTATTCAAAGATAATGTATATCTTACATGATATTGAAGTTATTAGTGACCTATGTCGGGCCTAATTTTACGGCCCGATTTTTCAATATATTTTTAAATTTTTTCACTAAATAATCGAGTTTTTTTCTAAAAAATATTGACCCTTTTCCTTCTTACAAATTTAAAAAAAGTATATATCAGGTTTATTTCAAAATTTAAGCCTGACCCAGTCCGGCAAAGTTAGGTTCGGGTACGGGTCGGGCCTACGGACCTCCAATTATGCATAACTGTTTAACAACAAAAAATAATGATAGTGTTTTACTTTATAAACATCCATTGGCTCTATCAACTTGTCAAACATCGTGTAAAGATTGTTTAGCAAAGTTATGATCTTAAAATTTTGATTATTACAAATATAATTTAAAGAAAGGACTAATAGGTAGGTTTAAATTTGAAATTATTGTTGCTAAACGCTTTATAAAAACGACTAACCCAATATTTTAGCCAAAAAAATATCACTCAAGCCTGGAGATTTTGCTCATAGATGGCAGAGAGGTTTGGAAATCTATCAACATAATCTTAAGGCTTTGACATAACGGCGTTATTTTAAAAAGATTAAGTAAACATAACGATGTTGTTTTTACAGATTAACAAGAAATGGAGTAAGTTAAGTTTTTATAAAGCTTGTGTTTTCATATATTGTCCTCTTTCAGAATAGTGATTTTTTAATGACATATAGTAATACCTAGACTGATGATTTATTTATTTAAATATGAATCAAAGAATCAGCTGGTGTTACGCCATTTTGGTTTCCCATTTTCATTTTTTTTCAAAAATATATGGGAAATCAAAATAGCATGTGACTAGCTGATTTTTTATTCAAAGAGCATTTTAACGAATAAACCGTCAGTTTAGTTGAGTGTTACATGTCATCCTACGACTTTGAAAAAAAAAGAGACACGATGTTTTCTAAAAATAGCTTATAATATAAATTTAATTATTTTTGCTTTAAACCTCTATAGGTGATAATTTGGAACATAAATCAGTAAATTTCACTATATCATTAAAATATATGGTAACGCAATCAAACGCTTCAGAATCTATCGTCCTTCCGGAAATTAAATTTTCCGCTATGGGTCTATAAATAAAATATGACGGATTTAGCTAAATATTATTAAAAATCTATACATTTTAATTTCAACTTTTTATTAGAGCTTTTCTCTAGAACATTCTGGAATTATATTTCTTAAAGAGCCGCCGCCCTCTTTAAAAACTGCAAACTTAATATATCATGCAATTAAAAAAAAAATTAAACGATAACTTGGGCAAAATCTTGTACAACAACTTTTGAGATTTTTCCTGAGCCTCGTTCAAATGCTGATTTCTTCTTTTAAGTATCACGTCCAGATTTTCCGCGTATCTCTCCATCCTGATCATTATATTGTCCACGAAGTTCTCCCCCATATTATTCTTTTTGAGGCATCTTTTAAAGGCGGAAAGTATGTAATTAAAATTGGGTCGGCTTTCCGGATCTTCACTCCAACACATTTTCAACAATTCCCTAACTTCTTCCGGACAATCATGACTCGCTACTATGGGTCTGAAAGGCGGAATTAAACTTGCTTTTACCTTCGTAATTATATCCGTTATATTGGCGGCTTTATCTATTTCTTTTCTATTGATAGAATACGGCGGTTTCCTTAAAATAATTTCTTGGAGTATTATGGCGAAGCTATAAACATCAGCCTTTGGTAAACCTTTTAACAAAATTTTTTTTTTTAAAAAAAAAATTTTTTTTAATAAGCTTATCAAAATTTTAATGGTAGGCATGGATTAATGATATTTTAAAATTTTTCTAAGGCAGTGGAGAAATTAAACTTTAAAAAAAGCCCGAGTGGATGGAAGGGAGGGGGAGAATGGGGTAAAACATAAAATCGGTTTTAAAATAAAAAATAAAATGTTTACCAATAAAAGCGTAACGATAAAATATTTTTTAATTTGTAATAAATCTTTTACCCGAATAGAACAAATTTCAAAAAAATATTTAATAGATTCCATTTTTGCTCCCTCCCCTCTGACGTGCGTCACAATAAGGTAAAAACATTGTCCATTTTAATTTTAATCAACATATTCTAGTATAAACAAACAATATATATGAATAAAAATATTGGGTTAAAAGGGCAAAATGATTGAATGAATAAAATTTGTGTCCCATTTACCAAATATTAAAATTGGAATAAATATAAATGGTATTTAATATAACAAACTGTGAAACAAATCAATGGAAGATCTTAGCACTTCTGGAGCGACCCATAGTTTTCTGACCTCGTAAAGCTTATGGTATTTACGACTTTGAGAGTTGGTGTTTCTCTCTTCTTCTAATTCCATCTCCATGCCTTTGTCCATTCGCAAAATCTCCTGACTGTGTAAGGAATGAATTGTAGGGAGTCCAAAATCGGTTATTTTGAGCACAAATCTATCATCTAAAAGGCATTTATCGGACCTCAAATGACCATGAACTTTTATGGCAGTGTTATGAATGAAAACCATACCCTGGGTAAATTATTGGTAATATAATAAAAATAATTAATAAAAACAAAATGTCTTAAATATTTTTTTAATAATAATGACCACTTCTCCTTATTATTTTGTATTGACTTATTAAGGTGGTTTGCTCTCCTATTTAAAATACCGGCAAAATGCAATTGATTGACCAAATCATAACCTACATAAAGTGGTCACTTATTGGTAGAGCTGGGGAAAAAAAACAGCATAAAAACAAAAACTAATATAAAAAACAAAAAATATCCTTTTTCTACCCCATTTTATAAAAAATAAGAATTTTTTTTTTAGAGTCAATAAAAAAATTCTTATAAATATTAAAAACAACAACTAAAACAAAAATTAAGATAAAATATTTAATAGTTTAAGGATTTGTTTTGATCATGACGGTTTGCAAGTCTTTTGATATCGGTCTTACCACTCTTCAGTCTCGTCTTTGACTTTCACTAAACTAAGCCACATTCCCCAACCTTTACATTTAACTTTATAATAGCCAAATATTCAAAGTAAGTAAAATTTAATTTACATCCTAACCTATTTAAATAACATTTTTTTTTAATATTAAATTTTAAGCTCAATCTAATTGGACTGAATTATTGGAAGAGCTTTAGAGAATCACCATTATTGAATATTTTCAATTATAATAATCAGGAATAGCCATTAAAACGATTTAAAATCGCATTTTTATTTTTGGCTGTGTCCAAGATATCGAGAAATTAAATTCACAAACTTTTGATACTTTAATGAAAATAAATATATAACCCATTTTATTTAAATATAAAAACAAAAACATACACAGTCCAAAAACATAATTCTAAGTAAAATAAATTTCAAAAATTTAACCTTCGATTTCATTAAAATTTTAAAATGTGCGAAAGTTTTGAAACTTTTCGAATTTTTTAAAAATGATTTTGGATATAGTTTTAAATATTTTTTTTACCAAGGTTATCTTAATTTATTTCTTTTTAAACGTTGCATTATTGTAAGCACGATTTACTCAAGCAATGTGAAATAAATACCAGAGACCTGCAGAGGTACCATTTGCACGGTCAGGCCCGGATTTTTATATAATTTTTGTAGATAATAATGGTGATTTAAAATATTTGGTTATAAAATATACAGCCCGGCCGGGTTCAGATAATTTAAAAAAAACAATTTTAGGCCCGGCCCGGGTATTTAAAAAAAAATTTAGGCCCGCCCCGGGTATATTTAAAAAATTAAAATACGGCCCGGCCAGTATAGGACTGGAACGGGCCGGGCTTAGGGACGGGCCGGGCCTGCAGGTCTCTGAAAAATGCTGAGCGATTATTCAGCAAAGTGTATTATGGCTAATAAATCAACTTGTGATTTTGCTAGCGATTAATTTAGCATCACTCAAGCTAATCGCACTTACTATTAATGCAGCGTAGCGCAACTCATTAAATCTAAGCGGACTCATTTTCCCTTGATAAATAAGCAAGTTAGGTATACCTTTATTATGTCATAAATCAACGAGAATTTTAAATCCCAGTCCAATGACAAATCGCTTAATAAAATAGTCTGCAAATTTCCTTTGTCCATGTATTCAGTGACGATAGCTAATTCTGTGATTTCAAAACATACCCCCACGAATTTGATCAAATTCTCGTTGCTGTATTTGGTTATTATAGCGATCTCCTTAAGCAGAGCTTTGGTTATTTTGATTTCGTTAGTCCTTATATATTTAACGTAAACCTTCTGTCCTTTATATAGCCCATATTTTTTAACAATTTTACCATGGATCACATCGTTCAAGCTAGCTGGTGATAATCTGGACCCCGAAATTATCTATTAGGGGTTATTATTTTTTTATTTAGGACGCGAAACAAAATTCAAAACTCGTATATATAAATAATATTCCTAATTAACATTCGTATAAGGCATAATGAAAGGTTCCCCGCTGACTCAACATGTTAAGGGGAACCTAGGGGGTAGAAAAGCCTAATGTTTACACTAAGTTTGCATCGTAAAAAAATTTTCTTTAGTGGTGAGGTCCAGAGGATATTGTTATACCCTTTAATTTGTATTTATCACAAAACTATTACTAATTTAAGTAATCATATTAAACAAAATTAATATTTATCAATCTATATATTAAAAGAAAGGTATAATGTTAATAGTTATATTTGTAATCAGGTAATATACATGTTACATCATTTAAACAAAGTATCTCTAAATTATAGGTTACCCTCTGCAGTAGTGTTGTTAAACGATTAGTTTTGAGCCGGTTTTTAAAAACGGCTAACTCAATATTTTAGCCAGAAAAATATTACCTAAGCCTCAAGATTTCGCAATATATGTCTGGACCTTTGTTCCTTCTATGAGCAAAATCTTCAGGCTTGGGTAATATTTTTCTTGAGGAAGTATCGCGATAGCCGTTTTTAAATATCGGCTCAAAACGAGCCGTTTAACAACACTATTTGCAGGGTATCCCCATGAGGCTCAATGAAGTGGAAAATTACCCTTTTACCTTCTATAAAATTTATTCTTATCTCAACTAGATTGAAAATCTTTAAATTTTATAAAAAAAATATATAACTCAACAGTACGATTTGCTTACATGATGCAAAAAAAATTATTAGATTTAATTTTGGAAAAAATTCATAATTTTATATATTATTTCAAAATATTTAAGTTTATAGCAAATTGTTTTAGTGAAAAGATGAGATTAATTAAGAAGAAAAAATGTTACACATGTGGGACTAATTTTTAGATTACGTCAAGCAGTTGATTATCATCTATTTTTATTTTGTTATTCCTATCCTAAATTATGATACACGAAATAATTATGATTAGGTTTTTATTAAATGTGTGTTAAATAGTGGCTCAATTAATTTGAATAAATTTTATAAATAATATTCTGAATTGTTTTAATTATTAAAATGTAAATGCTTTTTTAAGAAGGAGGGGGGGGGGAGGAATCGTTTTTGGGGTTATGTTTGCTTCCAAAAATAATTATGTCCAAAATTATCATAAAATTAAACTATACCCACCCCCCCCCCGCCTCCCCCAAGATTCTAATAATGAAAATGGTTTTATAGAGCCCTGAGTTATTGAATATATTTCGGTTAAAATCAGATTTTAAAAAAAGGGCTAAAATAAATTATTTAAAGTTGGAAAATATAACTGATCATTTGTTGAATACGTTTATTTTTGATTTTAAAAAAATCTCACTTTCCAAAAACATCTATTCCATTATTTGTAGATTATCTATATCACTATAAATATCACAGAATTTTTTCGCCATAAACCTTTGAGTCATTTTTTTTAGGTTACTGGCAATAGTTAGGTAAGGGCTAAATGTCGGCTAAATCGGTTCAATCTACAGGCACATGTCGGATAAAATACGTTAGAACTAATGCGTTTTAATTTATATTAGTTTCTTTCAAATTAGATCGGCTATATTTTTGAGGTGAACTCGGAGACCAAAGTGATAGTTTTCAACTCGGCTAAAAATTGGCTTAAACGGCTAAAGATATAGCCATTACCCAACTATACTAGCGATACAATTATTGCCTGATTTTGTACGGTGTCGGTATACATGTTATTTATAAATATATACAGAGTTATAATATGATAAATTCAACAAAGAATTTTTGGATTCCATTTCATCCTTGTTAGCCACGATCTCCTTCATGTTGATGAACCAGGATTCTGCGTTGAACCGGTTTTTGTATCTCCTTGGTACGTTTAACGTTCCATATTTTTCACAAAACAAATTTTTATTTGTTATAATTATATATTATATGTTACGTATAATTTGACTGCCATTTTAATTTCATGTGGCATTTTAGACTATCAAATATGTCACATTTTACTACTCTGCCTCAATATAGGACAACCACTCTTCGTACATCATTATTTTTAAAAATTCATATAATATATAAAAAGGTTAAATTTATTAAATGAGCTTTTGGATCATTATAGTTATAGTAATGAACACAATTACAATCTTTTACGAGTATATAATTTGAAGCATTTGATGTCCTCAAATCATTTTAGGATTATGGCAAGATTAAAAATTGGGACGTGATTCAATTAATTTTTCCTAATTTGTTTATTCTTTTGGTGATCTTTAATGACTTACGAAAACCCTAGAAAGATGAATAAAAATCGCTAGATCTAAAAATATTTAAGATCAAATAGTAGTAGTTATACATTGTTTGGAATAGTTACTAGAAAAATCGAGATAAAATTTTGATTTAAAAAAAAATGTTTAAAAGTACTGTGAGACATCTCATATAACGTGATTTAATTTCCTCAAAATTTATATGCAACGGAAAGGGTAGTCTCGATCTTCATCAAATCGGAAATATATGAGAAATTATGAACAGTTAGCTGCAAACGCATAGTCCTTGTATGTAGAATAAAATGACACTTACGATCATAATATTTGGGATCAGTTAAGAAAAGGATGAACATAGTTTTTAAATGTATGAATTTATGTGATATCATTTTTTTTTATTGAAATATATAGTGTTGAAAATCGTCTCGTTTTGAGCTATTTTTAAAAACGGCCAACTCAATATTACCTCCAGAAAAATATGAGGCAAGCCTAAAGATTATGCTCAACATATATTATCAAAATCTCGAGGCTTAGGCAATACTTTTCTGGCTAAAATTTTGAGTTAAGCCGTTAAACAACACTTACGCAATTTTTAATTTCCTTGTAATTATGATATGGCTAAAGAAAATAAAATATTTCTAGTTTTTTATATATAATATAATTGAAGGATTACCATAATATTTCCTAAAAAGCTCGTTTAAAATTGTTTTTTATTTTAAATTTAAAATATTATTTATCATGAGAAAGATAGAAGGTGGTCGTTTTTTTTATATAGGCAGAGTGGTAAACCAAAAACATAAATCGTGAGACGATCTTACAATTTTGCTATTAACTCCAGTGTGATTTTTAAACTTTAAAAAATAATGCGTTATTTATTTATTTATTTTAAAAAAAATACATTATAATTGAAATTACCTATATAAAA